TCGAGCATCAGGTAAAGATCGTCAAAAGATCCACGAAAACATATTGCAAATTTGCGCCTAAGCATTCGTCGCGTGCTGTATCATATTTCAACTCCCCCTGGTCAACCTCAACTCCCCCTGTTCAAGCTCAACTCCCCCTGGTCATAAAACCACTTATACATTTGACTGTAGATTGAAGCGAAGAAACTCCCCCTGGTTTGTCGGTATTCTTTGATGTTTTGGATTTTTGAAATCCATGGGTTCTCGCGCCAAAGTTTAGAACCCCTCGACCTGGCACCGTGATTGGCTAGATTCACTTCCACGGGTGCAGAAACTCGTATAATTTACAGGCCACGGGTTCCTTAAGTGGCTGGATATAAGAGGAGACAATGCTTTCCGAGTCTGTAGAATGCTATACAGGACAACCAGGGGGAGTTTCATAACACTTCAATGCATGGACTGAAATAACAATGTTGAACAGTTGTGAGACGGGGCATTGAAGCGGAAATAACAATTTCAGGAGATGTGCATACTTCCCGGTATTATTTAAATGGTTTAAATAATAATAAACAAAATTGCGGTAGAATAAGCTTTAATCCCCAAAAAGTTTTTTCTCAAATCTGAGGGGTGCTCGAGCCCCCTTCGCACCCCACTGGATCCGCCCCTGCTCAACTCCCCCTGTTCAAGCTCAACTCCCCCTGGTCATAAAACCACTTATACATTTGACTGTAGATTGAAGCGAAGAAACTCCCCCTGGTTTGTCGGTATTCTTTGATGTTTTGGATTTTTGAAATCCATGGGTTCTCGCGCCAAAGTTTAGAACCAAGTCTCGACCTGGCACCGTGATTGGCTAGATTCACTTCCACGGGTGCAGAAACTCGTATAATTTACAGGCCACGGGTTCCTTAAGTGGCTGGATATAAGAGGAGACAATGCTTTCCGAGTCTGTAGAATGCTATACAGGACAACCAGGGGGAGTTTCATAACACTTCAATGCATGGACTGAAATAACAATGTTGAACAGTTGTGAGACGGGGCATTGAAGCGGAAATAACAATTTCAGAAGATGTGCATACTTCCCGGTATTATTTAAATGGTTTAAATAATAATAAACAAAATTTCGGTAGAATAAGTTTTTATCCCCAAAAAGTTTTTTCTCAAATCTGAGGGGTGCTCGAGCCCCCTTCGCACCCCACTGGATCCGCCCCTGTATCCGATATGAAAATTGATCCGGTATGGCGCAAACGCAGCCTGCACGACTCGATAATTGAGAATAGTTGCATTCAATAACTTTAAATAACCAAAAATAATTGCATTCGATTTTTTTAAAAGTTCAAAAGTTTTAAAATTCAATTTTTTGTTGATATTTCAGACAAAATTATAAGTTTTCTGAAATTTAATTCACACTAATCTAAAAGGCGTGCTCGCGAAAATTTTCTGGGGACCCTCGTGTGTGCCTCTGCAGCATGTTTTCCAATTTCCCCTTGTTTTAAGATTTATATAGAAAAGTCTTCACGTTCTTTAGCCATCTAGTGCAGTCGTTGAAATGATGAACCGGGAAGAAAAGCAAACATTTTAAGTAGAATTTTTTCCTCTATAATATATCCAAAATCGCCTACAATCCAACGTTAGGAAAAAATTTTCTAGAAATTTTAAAAACATGAGCTTTTTGACCATATGCAAAATATCATCTGCCGAGGGATTCGGCAAAATATGAATAGCTTGCAACAATTCAAGGCGTAAATTCTGGATTTGGAAGCTAAACAGGTAATCGAGTCGACAATTGAGCAATAAAATTGAGTACCAGGGCCCGCAACATCGGGGGTGGGGGCGGTTGGAGTGGCCATGGCCCCCTAATTTTTTGTCAGCAAAAATATTCCCATAGAGGTCATCTTTTGAAGCCCCAAATTCAAGATTAATGTATAGAACTTGGCCCCTCCGCTTAGAATTTGTGGCGTGGGCCCTGAGTGTAGGTTGAAGAGTAGCAAAATAATCAAGTCCTATTGCTAACCCGCCAAATTTTTGAAAATTCTTGATTACAAATGAGAGTTCTAACTTTTCAACAATTTCACAGATAGATCTGGAATTCTTTGCCCAGCATGAAACGTGAAAAGCAGTTGTCATGATATTTGATTATATATTGCGTCTGCTACTACAAGATAAATGCTGCCGTGAAGGCGAAGGTTATACATTTGCAGTCCACAAATAATGCCGCATCCTTCCAAAGCCTGTCTTGTATTGGTATCGTTGTAACACAGTCTTCTAGCACCACTGCTAGGGGGTACGGGCCCTCGAGCTAAGTCATCGCGACTATCCAATTTGCAGCGAAGGCCCAACACCCTTGCTCTGAAATTGAAGGCTACAATTGGCTTTATCAAGATATTGCTTTGTAGCGTGGTTAAAATTTTCATCTTTTCTAACACCTTTTTGCGAATCTTCGGCCTAGGGTTCTGTTTATGCAAAATAGGTATGAATGCAGTGTTCCGCGACAAATAAGGGTGAGTCAACTTATGAGCCATTCTCCCCGCCCCCTCCTGAAAAAATTTTATTCAAATTGTTGCTCATTAATTTTCCACCTTTTAAAGTACCAGTTTACAAGCTTTGTTAAAGCAGAAATGTCGATAACACTTCTAAAGTCAATCTGTTAAGCAGCATCACATACAACAGACAGCAAAGCCAGGTCATTCAGCTGGCCATCATTAGTTCAAGGCCGTCGAAAAGATGCTTTAAACATAAAAAAAGCAGAATTAATTTAAAATACTTTAAAATCTAATTTCATGCATTTTGGGGCCTTTACCGGAGAAAGCCTTCCCTGGAATGATGCATCATTGCTATATAGTCATTTGTAGCAGCATTGCCACAAAGGAAGCAATATTTTTTCCACCTGAACTCAGTAAAACTTGATTGTAGTCTTTTAGAACAAGGTGTTACGCTAACATCGTAACTTTTTCGAAGTACTTTCTTAAGTCTCGACGACTTTGATGAACTAAAACGTTACCAATTGGAGTTTTTTAACTCTCTGTTGAATAATTGTTTAAGGCCCTATTCGCACTGCAAATATGATAATGTTTGTCAAACCCGATATTCTCACGCCAATTAAGAAAACTTTTTCAAGATTGTCAAAGTTTGTCAAACTTCTGTTCGCATTAGGCAGTTTTCTGAGATGTTGCATCTTTATCTAACACGTTATCAGGTTGCCATTAAGAAATTGTACCTTTTCAAATTGTGACATGATTTCAAATAGCACCCTGGGCTTTTTTATTGGTGTTAACATAATTCTGGCATGTCCGTCGAGTCACCCGCTGGTTATCATAGATTTTCACAAGATTGTGATGCTCCAGAGCTCTACGACGGAACCTTTGACCAATTAGTCGAAACGTTACAATTTGTCAGATTTCGGATTTTGCTGTTCGCACTCTACCAATTAAACTACTTCCTGACCAACCCTTGCCGCCTTTGAAGATAGAACAATAAGGGATTAACATTGTCAGGTTTCTAGATGCAGTGCGAATAGGGCCTAAGTCAAGTCTTACGTTTCTTTTACTGTGCTTTATGATGTTGCAGGCACCTTTTCATAACGTGTACTGCTTTTCCATTTTTAAAAACTAGCTTGCATATCACAAAGTTTTAGTCCACCCAATTGATTAGCGATTCTGCCATATTTTATCCAGATAGTTTCCTGAAAATGAGCCGTTCATTTGTACCAATCATTAGGAAATAATGACCTGTGTTGATATCGAAATTACAAAAGAACATTACATCTTTGGCTGGGATGTCCCCAATACCCAAAATAGCCCCTCCCCCGAGTAAATTGCTAAGGCATTGAGTAACTTTATGTACTCTAAAATATTGATAAAAGTCCCTCGCTTATGGTGCGTTTATGAATATTGTCTTTTGGTATTCAAAAACTGCCTGTCGATTATAAAATTTCCGCCCATGTTTTAAGGGAATCAAAAAACAACTGACTTCTTCCTTTATTAGTCCTCTTATTTATTTTCAGTCCTAGAATAGGAGAATGTTTTCTTGCGTAAATCTACATTTTTAAAAGAAAAACGAATTTCTTGCTTTTTTGAACACATGCTCTCAGTTGTGCTAAAACTACTTGATTATCGAATGTGGCCTCGTAGACCATATAAACCTCAATGAAATTTTTTCCCCACGGTCGATTTTGGGCGATTTTGAGTATGTTATAGTGCAAAAAATTCTGCACTGGATGGTGGAAAATTCGCTTTTCTACCATTTTTTCCCGGTTGACCTTGAATTGAACGCTCCACGACCTCGCTAATTCCCAATAAAATAGAAACTAAAATGCTTCAAACCTCTAAAAAATTGATTCTAAAATGCTTGTCGGGCAATTTGCGAATTCTACGCCAAGGAGGACTGACTTAGTTTGAAACTTTTGAAAAGTTTATTATTTTAGATATTTGCTTAAAACTTTGGAAAATCAGATTTTAGAAGTAGAGCTCCCTCGCCTTACATATTCAGAATACGAAGTGTGAATTTAATGGACAGTTACATATAAATGAAATGTGTTGTGAATATTGTGAATGAAATGGGGAATAGAAGCAGCTACATATGACAGTTATTGTATTTGATTAGCCAAACATTGCCACGTAAAAAAAGCCATAGCCTTCCCAAACGTATTAACAAAATACGGCGTTATCCCAACTTCTTAAGGGTGTGATCAGCAAAAATTTTCCGTTGCTCCCAATATTTTAACCCTGGCTTCGCCATGCTCCCAACTTTAACAATTCAATTGATTGCCGTAGGATGAGCATTTATCCTGTCTTTTCCTTTTTGATATATTCGATGTCAATAATAATAAGTTACGATAATTTCATTAATGTTTATACAATATCCATATTGTATCTGATCAATCATAAGATAATGATTACATCGAGCACTACATGCCAACAAGGACACACAACCTTACAAGCTACAGGATACTCTAACGCCTTGTCTTATTCGCGTATGTGCGAAAATTCTATTCTTGAGATTGGACACAACAACAGTCTAAAGGATGAATCAAGATATTTCATTAATTGATACATGAAAAATTGAAACATACCAGATACGACAGTAAGTTATTTGATCATAGGAAGAATAAAATATGTTGATTAGAACAAATTAGATTTGCACCATTCACAACATAGAAAAGTGGACCCAATCAACTTCAAGCCTCATTTCTAAGGAATAAAAAATACAATGCAAAGAGTTATGATCAAGTCTCTTTATACCAAATGGCTTTATTTAACCATGCTCTATTTAACCAAGCAGATTTGCTTTCAAAATAGATTGAGTTAAAACGAAAATATTCTTTTAAGGCAATGAGCGTGAAATACAAACTCAAAATAAAAAAGTAGAAATATATCTGATAATTTTTTTGGGCAAGTGTGGAATGGATACGGCGAATATCTAGCATGCTTGGAAGGGTGCACCTTTCCACGCAATCGTGTGAATGGCTTCTTTTCGTTACATCTTACTACAATCCGATAAAAGTTGTAAAGGCTCTTGAAACAGCATTAATAACAGATACTGCGGTGAATAGTTTCACGCTCCAATGAGATAAACCGAGATACAGATCACCTTTTTTAAATCAAAGATAAACTGGTTACTAAAGAAAGTAGTCTGGTGTTCGCCTTGTCACATGAGGCTCGCCTCTTCTCGGCGCCGGATCAAATGGAAGGCTGGAAAATAAAACAGTCAATCCATCAATTAATCTGTGCATGACTCTATCTGCCTTAACTTAGTAATATTGTAATTTTTCATAAACCAGAGGCAGTTCCTAGCAAGCTTTGTACCGAAACCTAATTTTTAAATAGGTAAGCAAGCCTGAACAATGCTGTGCGTTACCCTTGATACAACTTATGTGTGAGCATCTGTTTACACATCACAGGCCTGGAATCTTCAGCATCAAGGGAAAACGGCTTTCGTTTACGTAAACGACAGGTTGCAGAAACGACAAAAAAGTATTCTGTTGCCTTCATTTTGGAGTTGCAGAAATGCAGCAATGTACAAGGAATGGGACTTACAAGGAATACTTGAGTGCATCATCAAGCTCCATTATTGCTGCCTGGTTTCCACATCTGTAGCAGTAGTTTGGAGCAGAAAATATCGTCACTACATTTCGGTCGTGACACCAGTTGTACCCCTAAACAAAAGAGACATTGTCCCAAGTAAAAAAAGATATCTTTAAAATTATTTTAGTTAGGTACCTTGAATTTCAAGTATCAAAAAGTAAAATCAGGCACAATTTCAGGCACCAAGTCTACAGAAATGAAACAGCAGAGTAAGCATTTAGTTCTAACCTCCATCACGAGCTGGTGAGCTCTTGCAATCAATGTTAAGCCATTCGTGTGGTTGAAGGTTTCTGAAATGTCTTGCCCAAACGTGTAACCCGCACCACGCGGGGAGATACCCCAGCCACCTCGGTCATCAGGATCACTCCAAAGCAGATCGCACATCGGACCCTGTCATTGAATGCAATACAAATTTCAGCTGATTAGAAAAATGACAAATTAAAAAATTTGTAGCAGCTAATGCGGCAAAGCTCTCTGGAGTATGCAACTAAGACTCAGAGAAAAGAAGAGAAGAAGAGTAGCAATTAATCTTGTTGCTTATTCGCCAGAAAAAACACGTATAACTTTGTTGCTTCTTCCAAGTGTATTTGCTAGCAAATGCTCTTTATAAGTACTTAAATAACACAAGATTTTGATCAGAAAAACATCAATTATCTGACCTTCTATTAAACATATATCGAAAACTTGGTATTTAAAAAAGAAGCCTAGGGCAAACTAAGTAGATATAAAAAAAAGAAATGAATTTGCTAGCGAGTGCAGCAACTAACCGAAATTTTGACCTTCCCATGATTTTATAGCAACATTCTACAAGAACCTTGTTTTAAAGCATTGTCCTTAAGAATTAACAGATGTATTCTTAACCTATTCAACAAGAAACGAACATGAAAACATGTTTTGCCAGGGTCAACATAATTTCCTCTAGCTTTCTTTCATTCCATTTACAGCTATTTACCATTCTATTCAAAATACAATACAAACACTCAATTAAATTCTAATAATTATAAAACCATCTCCAATCATTATAAAACTCTTTTCAGACAACTAATTTTGCACTAGTTATTTCGAATAAAAGAATCAATTTGAGCAATGATTTGTTTCCGGGGTAAAAGAGAAATAAAGTAGAGCCAATTTTTTATCAGGTTTGTCTCACAAGCTATTGTTAGCTACAGTACCTTGTCATCAATTATTATCAACACCAGATTAATAACAACGATTCTCACCTCATGAGGAACTTCTTGAAGCCTGTCTAAAGCTCTAATATGGTCTAAGGTATCAATGGAAGGAGATAAGCCACCATGTAAACAGAAGATCTGAAAAAGAGCTCAAAATATAATATCTGGCAGGAATACTAAAAAATAAGTGGAGGTCGCACTAAGCTATTCACTGCGATGCTTCAAGCTCTTTACTAACAGTCTCTATCAGTTCATAGATCAACCAAACCAAATCAATCCTGAAAGCTATCAAAATGCCAGTGTCTGTCAAAGTGATGTTTTGACTTAAAAACACGAGCTTTCAGTCGAGTTAATACTGTCCAAAAAAACCTTTAGTGATTTGCTCTCTGAGTTGAAAATGAACCGTGTTCCCTTCATGGACAAAAAGAGATAACAGCAATACAAAAAACATAACAATTAAGAATAGAAGATTAATTCTACATAAAGTCCCTTTCAAGTATCTGGTAAAAATGTAAAATATTAAAAGCTTAACTAAATCCTGCAAAATAGAACTCTAAAAATGCTAAATAAAAGTTTGGGTCATTTAAGAAAGAAAACAATAAAGAACCTAGGAAAATTGCCTCACCTGTCCATCTACTAGAGCTGTTAACGGGAGATAATCGAAAAGATCTGTAAAATACTTCCAAACATTTGCATTTCCATATTTTCTTAAGCATTCATCATAGAATCCATACACCTGAGTGATCTGTCGACTTTCATGATTACCTCGTAGAATTGTTACTCTATGCGGAAATCTGACCTTGAAAACAACAAAGAACTAGCTATAGAACTAGCTATAGAACTAGCTATAGAACTAGCTATAGAACTAGCTATAGAACTAGCTATAGCATTTTGGAGGAGAATGAATAGCAAAGTATAATAACATTAGTGCAAATTAAAGCATCTAGAAAACCGGAGCATTTAAAAACCGTCACCTAAACGGCACTAGACATGGCACTGAAGAGAGACATAGAGAAAAAACAACTGGCTATTACTCTAGTAGCAGCTAATGATCAACAATAAACAACGAAAAAACCCGAAACAATTACTCAACAAAGACTGCTTTTTTCATTTTTGAATAAAACTTCGTATAAAAATATTAAAAACACTATAATTGTCTTATCCCGTATATATTTGTTTGCAAACTTTGGTAAGACATGAACAAGTAAATCTAAAACGAATATCAAACCTCACGGTATCTCATTTGAGCACCATGTTAACCAATATTGTAATTTGGCTTGTAGAAAGTAATACTTTTTCAATCATTTTGTTATTAAATATGTTATTCATCCTGTGTAAATTGTCGCCCTTTGGTTCGACAGCAAATTTTTAACAAAAGTAAGCATTATCTGTTTCTTTGGCAGCATTTTGGATAGGTCAAATGCTATCTGATTGTGACTGATTGAAAAAGATGGGCAAGAAATTTCAACTTGCTTTTAGAAAGAAGGCTGTGCTTTGGCGCGGGAACTTTGTTTGTAAATTGCAAAGAACGTTGACGAACATTGGTTAGAAAGTTACTCTAATTGGCTAAAAAACATTCCAAGAACATTTCCAATGCATTGGTTTCTTACTTTCATCAAACCCGCACACGGGATTATTAGATATCCCTCTCTTATGAGAATAACGTGCTTAGATTAATTTTTCAAGGTAAAAAACAAAGGAAGAAGAGAAAACGGAATTTGAATCTACAATTAAACATTATTTTGAACTAGAATTTAGGTAAAAGTAGTTTTATTTTGGTTTTAAATCGGAGGGTTGAAATTTTATAAAAAATTTTCTCGTTTAAAGCTTGCAAGTGAAATGGTTCTCTCATTTGATAACGGCGCTATTACTTGGTAAATCATTTATTGATTGAGAAATTATTTTTCTCCTCGTATTTTTTCAAAGAAGATCTGGCAACAATCATTCATCTGCCAACTTTCACTTAGAAGAAACCAACAGAGAAATTGTACCATCTGGCTTATTTTGTTCAAAGATAGCAAATCCTTTGTTTAGATGAAAATGTTTGTTTAGATGAAAAAAAAATGTTTAGATGAATATGCAACCTTGATGGTTTCCCAAGCAGCTTTCAAAATGCATTTGACCTTTTTTAATGGAGGACAACAGTCATTAAATTTAGCTCTTTAACCAAGTGTTTCGCCACCCTAAGATCATGACAGTCGGAATTTATAAATGAATGGTGGCGAGAGGTCATTTGATGATTTGCAAAGAAAAAATAATCTGATCACTCTGCAGAAAGAAGATGATTCGCATTCTGCCTGTGTCAATTTGTTTTCTGTTTCTCCCTTCTGACATGCAAATGACAAGCCTTGTTGGAAGTTGAGTTAGAGCTGTTAATGCCTTCGCCGCTGGGTGTACAATTGTGATCCTCGTTCCAGAATTTTCGCAGGGTATCTTTTATTACAGAAAACTAAGATTAGTCTCTAGCAAACTTTAACAGCTAAGGATTTGCAAGTACAAAAATATGCTTAGCAAATTCCAACTTCTCTTTCCTTTTTTAAGTAAATTCAACCCTTAGCAAACTCTCTGAAACCTACTCATCAACTGTGCACAAAGGCAGCTTCCCAGTTTCTACAAGTGGCCGAGTTCTTGGCATAAAATGTTGAAAACCTACCTGTTCCAAATTTAATCACAACATACCAAAGACGATAAACCTATCAGAATCATGAACTGCATTGAGACAATTATGCAATACTGAATGCTTCAGTTAGCCTTACCTTTAAAGCAACAAGCAAAGTGACCGTTTCCACTGAATAGTAGCCTCTGTCTACATAGTCGCCCATAAAGAGGTAATTTGTATCTGGAGATTTACCACCTATTTTGAAAAGTTCCATCAAATCGTGAAACTGCCCATGAACATCCCCACACACAGTGACTGGACATTTTACTTCTTGAACATTTGATTCTTTTGTCAAAATTTCTTTTGCCTACAATACAGAAAACAAGATTATCACTAAACCCAAAAGATTACAAGTAAAGGTTTCCTATCTACAAATAGCAACGAAATCGGTTTTAAATACCAACCCCCCTAATTAATAAGCTTTTTTCTGTTTTATCACTTCTTAAAGGTAACTGTCCAAGACATGCAGGTTTTTGTCATGGGATGGTCATTGTTTTATGCACGACATGGAATTGTCGCTTTAAAGTAGTAGAGTAGTTTGTTAATAATGCATCATTTTTGGTACAGACTCTGAATTAATCGTTAATGGCCACAGGATTGTTATAAAGATTCATGCCCCCTGTGATATCGTTATAGTATTGTATTTGTAGTAGTGTTTTGTAAATTTCTATGAGTATAAAAAAAATTGAATACAAATCATCCGACACTACCTATCTAACAGATATTGGCAATTTGCTAATTATCCTTGGAAACAAAGTAAAAGTGCATTAGGCATTTTCTCATATGCGTTCCATTGCTTTGGATCAGATATAAACTAAACTTTTGAAATGTTGATCTGAACAGCTTGAAAATATTTGCAGTCAAATTTCTTACAAACTTATTGACACAGCATCATCATGAAATCACTATTACAAGTACTGGCACCCTGGAATGTAAGATAGTAGTTTTAGTCTTTAACCCAAAACTGAATCTGAAAATTTAATACAAAGAAAATTACAGTGTGTTTGTTACAATCAGGGTTGTCTGGATGTGTTATGCAGTGATGCAGCAAGCAAAAAGTAGCAAATGTATTGAAGAAAAAGGTCAAACATAAACAGATCTGTTGTAAAAACTTGCATTCAAGAGGCTTATTGGCATAATAGAAAAGACACTATCGTTAATTTCTGTAAAGAGGCTTATTGGCATAATAGAAAAGACACTATCGTTAATTTCTGTAATGTTTCTTTGAAAATTAGACGTTAAATAGTCCTTTAGAATACCATTGATTCCAAAATGCGCCAACAACTTATTTTTAACCTGGAAACACCTTTCGGTTGGGGTCAGACCATCCCAGAAGGGAAATAAAGGGTCATTGAGCCATGATACCCAAAAACCCAAAATGTTGCCAAAAATTTATGTTGTGCTGGGATCCTATCATAAATTTATTGGAATTTGTCTCCTACAGAATTTCTGCAAGGATCTCAATCAATACCTTAACTACTTCAACTACTTCATGTCTTTGTAACATAAAGATAGGCCACGTAGGGTGTTTTGTATCTTGATTACTTTGCGCGTGCGATGGCCTGCGATACAAACAACTTTCTATCTGCTGCATTTTATTCCTGTGTCCAAGAAATTTAAGGTGCAGTTTCCGGCCATTCTTAGATCAGTATAATCTAAAATTCATCAATGCACACTTTAGAAGAAAAAGATGCAATCATCATAGAGCAATCACTTTAAATAAGTGTAAAATCAGGAAGGAGAAAGAAAGTCTACAAAGCAAGCGGAAGGAAATTAGCAGTGTTAATGAAAAGGATTGAAAGAAAAGTAGTGAAAAAGTACCAACGAAGATCAGGATGGAGGTAGTGATTGTATCTGCAAAAAGGCAGTGATCGTTAATGTTGCTTTATAAACAATTTGGTGTGGCTGTCAAAAGTGGGGGCTGTAACCCTTCCCCCAGTAATTGCCATTATGGACACAGCTTCCTTGATTAATAACAACAGAGTATTGAACAAGATTTAACTGAATGAGCCAAAATACAACATTTGCTCCAATGACCTGCTTGCAAGGAAAATGTTCATTATATCATGTTATTCAATAACATCTTATCAATTAAACTTCTCTTTTTGTCAAACTTGCCCTGATTTATTATTTTCAATGGGCAACCACCAATTGTAGCCTGTTGATCACACATTTAACAACAAAGGCTGCTTGTTTCTGTGCACAGTCAAAACACCTACTGAAATCTTTATGGAGAGGCCAGCTTCAAGGAAAAACTAAACCAGAAATTCCTTTTCAATTTTGAAGCATTATTTTATGAGTGCAGCATATCTAAACTGGCAGGTTTAAAGTTGCTTTTTAAGGTATCAAATTGTCTAGAAAATTGAATTTGTTTGAGGCGAGCAATAGCTCAGGCTCACCTCCACACTAGCCACTCTCTTGCAACATGGGGCGAGCTGTGAATTGCTCTCTTAAACAGAACATGAAGTAAAATTCGCTTCTCTAAAATTCCCATTCACTTACCCTTTTCGTTTTGAAAGAACCCTGAAAAATTTACAAGGTTAATTGGTTTTGCATTTTTAAAAAATAATTCTTTGCCTGTCAGGCAGTTTTTGTTATGATTGTCACGAGCTGCAATCTATTTGGGAAAGGATAGTGAAGGGAAAGGTATGTTTGCAGAGCTTAGAACCTTTCATTCTTATGAAAACAACCACATTATTGGTAGGAAAGTCGAAGAAAGTGGTAAGGATTGTCGATCGAGAGATAGAATAAAACAGCAGGGCCCTTCCAGCATTAGAAACAGAACCCTCCCTCAAAGAAAACAGCCTACTTACGTCTTGCAGATCAAAAACCACAACTAAAAGATGCAATGCCACAAGGAAGCGCATTCACTGGAAAACTAGATTGCATGAAAGCTATAATGGTAACATGTTTCAGATTATTGGCAGAACCTGACTGTCATTACATCTAGCTGTTTTGGGATGTAATGGTTACATGTTTCAGATTATTGGTAGAGCCTGACTGTCAATGCATATAGCAGTTTTGGAATCCATATACATAAATATGAAATAGCCGGTATTCTCTAGACAGAAGGAGTTTGTTTTCACCTTAGGATTCATTGGTAACATTTTCCATTGGCAAGCGGCACAGATTGGGCAACCTCAACAGTCATGTGCTCGCGTTTCTGATTGGCCTATTTCAATTCGTAACTGAGTTTCAATATTTTCTAGCCTAGAGTTTTCGAACTATGTTCTGACATTTTATAGTCTGAAAGAGTGTCAGACGAAAAGCTTAAGTATTTTTCAAAATGTGTTTTTCAAAGCCTTTTTTAATTCTGTACATCAAAAAGATTGTTTGGTAAGAGAATTATAGCACTTTTGTGCTGTGCAAGCTTTACATGGAACCACAGAATCCCTATTATCTGAAGAAACTTAAAGTGTCCGTCTTTTTTAAATCCTTTAAGCAAAAGGGGTGCCAGAGCAACGGTTAAATTTAAACTTGGAGAAAGTAATGGGTGGAACAGCAGCAAAAATAGCAATAGATAAAGGACAAGACGCTGCATTCCAAGATGATGAGGAACTTGATGATGCTCTTAAAGTTATCGGTTGAGAAGGAAAGTATAAAAGAAAGAAGGGTAAATTTCCAAGAAGAAGAAATTTAAAACTTGATAAGATGGGTTCAACAGTAACAAGAGCAGCAGCTAAACAAGCTATCAAAGAAGGTTTGAAGCAAAGAGAGAAAGCAATAGCACGAAATGTAACAAAAAAAGATTTAAAACAGGTTGCAATCAAAGGAGCTAAATCACTTGCAAAGGGAGCAGCAGCAGCAGCAGCAGCTGGAGTTGCAATAGATGCAGGGATTCAGAAAATTAGGAGGTCTTGAAAAAGGATAAAAGGAATGAAAACAAGGCAGAAAAGAAGAAGAAAAACCTGTGAAACGAAAGACAACAAGAAAATTAAGTAGTTTAAGTGCAAAGGAACTGAAAATACCCTGCACTCTAAAGCGAAGGAATTTCACCAAATATTAAAATGTTTAAAACCAAGATTATAAAAGCATTTCTATTTTTCCTAGGATTTTTATCATTAGCTAATATTACTCAATGTACCTTTTTGAGAGGAAAGTGGCAACATGAGAGGCAGAAGGGGTGTTTCTTACCAAATAAAGGAGGCTTCTATGCGAATTAATAATGTGATGTAGTAATAGATTAATGTCGTTACTTAACAACAATGAAGATGTAATGTTACCAATTTTAAACAACTTGTCATTTTGAACTATATGACATGATATTTGAACTGATGATGTGATTTATGTTGATTGGCTGAAGCATACATGATATTTGAACATATAAAAATAAAAATGGATTCTGATTGGCTGAAACTGATGTGAGATTCAAAATGCTGATGTGACATTCGAACTGATATGATATATAAGTCATTGAATTTTAGGGTAAAGCTCAGTTGGAACTTGCAACTGCAAAGAGCAGACATATTTTTTGAGTCTAACATCACACACAGTGCAGGGGCTGTTTAAAGGTAATGGGCTCATGCTTAAAGATTTCAAAGTGAAAGTAGGGTACATTCTATGATCGATGTACAGGCAAATGCTAATAAGTTGAAGAGAGCACATCACATGGAAGATCAAGAACAGGGTCAAAGCAAGAAGCGATCACCACCATTGCATTCATCTTCTCCATCATTTGGTTGCTCAAAACTTAGCTTCATTGTTACTCTTTGTGATTCATAAACCAACTGATTTTTTTGCATTGCTTGCCCACCCATATATCTTAATAATTCGAGTGTCACATCAGCAATGACATTGCTTTCAACCAACCAGAATCCATTTTATTATTTAGGATATTACTATCAACCAATAAGAATCAGTTTTTCTTTCTAGATGTACGAATATCACGTCATCTTCAACCAATCAGAATACAGTTCAAATATCACGTCAGCAATGGCGTTGCCTTCAGCCAATCAGAATACAGTTCGAATATCAACCATTCGAAATGTAACACTACTATATCACATCAGCAGTTTGAATTGTGCTATTATTTATCAAAAAGTATGACTATATGTTTGCATGTATGTAGAGACAATGAAACTATGAATAAACTATGATTCTACAACTAATCAATACTAAAACAACTATGCAACAATTAAACTAAGCAATACTTAAACTCTCGATTAACACTATAAACTATAGTCAGTTGGGGGAAAAAATACGCATTTTGCACAAAGTTTGCTCCAGAAAAATATTCAAAAGATATCTTGTCAATATTCTTTTATTTTTCGAACTTGAATGGTAATACCTTGTTAACCAAACCTTTGTTGTCTTGCTAATCCAATTAACCTTCTTATAATTAAAGAAAATTAATGCGAAATTTTTCCCCCATCAAATGGGGTAAAAAATGCGGATAGGTGGGGAAAAAATACGCACACATAAAAGAATGAATCCTAGAGGCTTGTTTATGAAGAACATTCATATAATACTTGATTTTCCATGTAACGATGTTAAGCAATAGTTTTGAACAGCTTCTAAGTGATTTTAAAGTTGAAAAGCATGAGGATGTCTGCTATTAAAAACTTTGGCATATGAAAGCGAGGCTATGACTTAAGTGCCAAAAATACATTCTAAACTCCCATTAATATAAGCTTATGTAATATCTCATGATAATTTGTGCCTCTGTGACTCATATTTACATATCTCTATAGGTCCCATACCAACATCAATCAAAATCAGGAGTGCCTAATTTTTCCCCATGTGCTCAAAAATTGTGTGTCCAAAAAATACGCATGCCATGTAGACAAAACAAAAGATAGCAAGCAAATGTAATTATCATAGGTCAAAAGGTTAATCCCTTAGAACAACTGAGAACACTTGACTTTGTGGGCTTGACAGTTACTGACGCGACAATAAGAAAGTTCCATGATTTCCGACAAAACATTATATTGGGCCAATTTACAAGGTAAACATTCAATTCCGCTTTATTCTAAATCAAGAATCCTTACAAAAGGGGAAAGCAGGTCAAATTGAGAGGCCTTCTCTAGGCTATACGGGAACCACAAGCAAAACGGTATAAGTGATTGGGCGTGGCTGAAAAGGTGGTGCGTAATTTTTTCCCCGCAGAGACACGTGCGTATTTTTTACCCGGATTGACTATATATATAAATTAACTAAGCAAAAATTAAAAGCTATTTGAACTAAAACTATTTGAACTAAAACTATTTGAACTAAAACTATTTTGAACTAGAACTATCAGAACTAAAACTATTGATTAATATACTATTGAAATCATCTAATCAACTAAAACTGTTTGAACTAACATTAAAATTATTGATTACAACTAAACTATAATTCTAAAACTATTTTAACTAAAACTATGGATGAACTCTTAAACTATGAATTAACATTAGAACTATGAATTAATACTAAAACTATGAATTAACATTAAAACTATTACTCTAAAACTATGAATTAACTAAACAACACTAAAACTATTTAAACTAACTCTAAAACTAATCTATGAATCATATCACCACAACCACAATGGACCTGAGCATGGCAGAGTGAACTTGAAGCCTGATCGGCTCATTTTATATACAAAATCTCAAAGTGTGAGTATACTTCAAAAATTTTCAGTTCTACGGAGAAATAGTTCAAAATTTAAATTCATTTTATCTCGAAAATGCCACCATGCCGCACGCTGACTTTTTTCTTGATTCATTTTCATGACCCAAAAAATTAAAATGAAATTGGTCGGCATATCCAGAAAATTTGAACACGTTCATAATTTTACTGCAAAGATACCTAATGTCAGGATTGTCAAATTTTGGGGGAGATTGACTGATAAGTTAAAACGAACATATTTTTTGGGGATATGCAGTATATTCATGAAAGTATTTCATCAAAATAGATTGGTCACAACTGTAAGTAGCTGTTTTCTCTTCGATATTGAAATCGCTTTGGTATTTTTTGTATAAGAGAAGAAAACCGAACAAAAGCGATATTTGACAAGGTCAACGTGGGAAGTTTTGTTCCATTTTTAAATTAATGATCGTGAAAAATTTCCACCATGCCACATTCTGAATTTTTGTAAACTTATAGTCAGAAGTTCCATTTTTTTATATAATGTCTCCTTCAGTGGCGGAAAATTGGGAAACGCTTTAAAATTTACTTTTTAAATTGTTAATATTTCCCTCATTGCTTAATACTAGGCCTAGGCATAGGATACTTTAGATTGACAGTGTAGCATAGAGGCATAGACAACAAAGAGATTAATAACTACTTTTAAAGCCTTAATGTAATGATATAAATGTATCTTAAGTTGATGATTTATTTTTTCGACTTCATAAAAAAGAAGCAGAGGAAAGGTTAAAAGTGAAGGTTTGTTATCTCATATATTTTTATATCATTCTAAATTGGGACAAAACAACACAACTTTTACGGGCAGGAAAATCATGTCAGCATGCGCGCGCATAAAAAACATTTTTGCTCTATGTTGATTTCCATATGAATGTGACTAGAATGATATCATGTTGGCCTTCAAATTTTCTATTCCCAATACAATGGACAAGCATGTTAATTTTTGCATTGACCATAAAGGATTTTGATACACTTATTTTCTTGATAGTGGTGTCTTACGTCTTCTCTCCATCTTCCATAATTTTTGTGAATGTAATGAAATACCTTCAGAATTGCGTACTTGGTTGAAATTTTCTGGTTGTGTGTTCACAAGATGACCTCACAAATGCATATATTAATTATTTTTATTCAAAATTTGGCATTTTAAAACTTTCTGTATTTGCCATATTTGGTCCACTTTGTCCATTTTAAGCTATTTCAAAGCAACTTCTGGGGATTGGGATCTCCGGAATTGAAGCAACTTAGATGGTTGTATCGCGATTCCAGGGCTTTATTGCATAGGCCTACTGGCCTACTCAAACGAAAATGCTGCCTCTTAAATTCATCTATTGGCGCTCGTCATCGCATGAAAGCAACTTGATAGGTAATTTTTACCAAAAGGCAGTTTAACTTTATACGTGTCGTAGTGCTAATTTTTGCTAATACTAAGAACAACAGAACGCGCGAGAGTCTGACAAAATCACAGCTTTCAAAATCTAAACAATAAATTTTTAAGACTAGATCTGCAAAGACAACAATAATCTATATTAAACAGGATTGATCAAATTCAGTGTGAATGATTAATGTCAACAGAAATTGCATCATATTTTGTACTATGATATTCGCATAATCGACATTTTAAATCAGAAGACATTTTGGAGGAAGTGTCAGGGTCTCAAGCTCAACCTTTAGGCCAAGTCACCTAAATGAGCATTATTCCGTTATAGCAACAAAAACAAGAATACCTTGTCTGTCAAGTTCTTGACTTGTTGCTCTGATAGCTGCTGGCAGTTATTTAGTTGTTCTACCCATGCATCAAGGTCCTTCACCTCCATTACAATCACGTTTGTTAAATCTTTCCGAACAGCCAAGACCAAGACAGACGCACTACGAGCCGATATTGTGAGAAGCGCCTTGGCAGTTTCTGGCGTTGAAGATTCCGCGGCAAAGCGCGAGAACACGTCTATTTTCCTTATATAGCATCATCTTTACCAAATTAGGAAAAAGGAAAATAGTTTCATTGAAAGATGAAACATCTTAAATCCCCGAGTTGACCTTCTTCGCATAAGTTAACCCCTTATAAGTGAAAAAGTTTAATAAGCCCCCACACTAAAGATTCCAACTCTGCCGATTTGGGAGTCTCCCGAATTAGGAGTTAACCTAAACTCCTGCTTTTCGAATTTTTTTTCATAAATCTGTTATAAAATCACATTTTTTAAAAATGTTGAGCAATGATAGAAGATCTGCATGAGTGTATGCACACTGTTTTTTCATGTTAGCCATTCAGCCAATATAAGAGGCCGCTGCTCACAAGTTGCTTCGTTTCACGGCGTTGCGACCTGCACTTTCTGTGGGGGGTTTTTATTGAAAAAAATACAATCCCCTCGTTTTTTTAGCGACAAAAACTACTTTTTGTGCAGAAATTCAAATGGTTTGAAACATGGTTTTCGATAAATTCTTAAAAAGGAATTACCTGATGCAAAGTCGGGTGTTTTCTGCAGAAGCAGACTGGCCAGCCCCAAAGTAAATTTCCCGGTGCGCCCTTTGCCCAAAGTATTTTTTCAAAAACTTGAAAACTTTCAAAAGGCAACTAACCATCGAACAAAACTTAAATTGATTACAATCAACAATTGACTTCCTGTCTAAAGTACGTTTCCATGAAAAATTTAGCTTATCCTTTAGGCTGAGAAAATTCATTGAAAACGAAATTTTGATCAGCAGTTTCTGCAAGATTCTTTGAAGGCCTTGAAAAATATATTTTGTCTTGAAAATTGCTTTGAAAAAAGCAAAACTTTTAAACATATCAAATATTTTTCGTCTGAAACTCCTCAGAGCATAAGATGTCAGAATAAGGGTCCAAAAGAACAAGATGGAGAATTCGATCCATAAATGGGTATTTATTCTCCATCTTGTTCTTTCCGACCCTTATTATGACGTCTTATACTTTGAAGAGGTTAAGACGATAAAAACTTTAAATATGTTTGAAATTTTTCCTTCTTCAAAGCTTTTCCAAATTAAGTAGTGCCAAAAAATTGTTCACATTTTTTTTATTGATAGCAGTTAATGTGGTCGCAGCCAGAAAGCCTACTCTCACTTCCAACCCTCGTTAGCTTTTAATTTTTTCAAGCAAGTGCGCAATACTTGAATTAATTCGATATCTGTTGAGGGGGTAGTAGGGGTTTACACTAGCTAACTAGCACACTGTTTGTGAAACCCATGACTTTTGGCTAACCATATTAGTTTTTTGACTTATGACTAACGCGAGTTATTTCGAGTATCTGATATCAAATAACTGAGAGGGCTCGCGCATTGGAAAAATTAATTGAGCACTACCCTTCTCTCTTTCCAATCAAAATGGTTATAACTGAATGACATTATCGATGTGTTGGCTATTGGGTATGGTAACGTTTATATATTACGTAATCAAAAATGGGTTGGGGAGGGGGGGGTCAGCTTGTTTAAAATTATTTAGGGAGAAGGAGATTAGATCTTGTTAAAATTATTATTTAGGGAAAAGGGGTTTTTTTGATGACGTAATATGTGCATATTTCTTGTGTTGTCTCTTTTGAACAATAGTCCCTTTTCTTTGGGCCATAAACTATCCCTTAATATTGAAAACTGCTCTAGGTATGATAGAGGACAATACTTTCTAAACGTCCTGTTGTTGGCAAGCTTTTTTATTTTGCAATTCAACTAAAATCTCGTATGCATCATGCTTTTTGTACGTTACAACCAAGAATTTCGTACTCAAAAGAAATTATGACTAATTGAAGCCAAAAATCTTGACCACTTTTTAAAAGACTTTATACAGAATTTGTTGAGAATTGATGCCCCCATATACGAACCTTCTGTAAACTTAGTTGAAAGTTAAACCGGCTGTTTTGTTAAAACTGGTAACTGGTAACTTTGTGTAACTTTTGTTAAAACTTTGTATACTCTCTCTCTCTCTCTCTCTCTCTCTCTCTCTCTCTCTCTCTCTCTCTCTCTCTCTCTCTCTCTCTCTCTCTCTCTCTCTCTCTCTCTACGACAAGCCCCGGTAAATCTCCTAGTTCTTTTCCACAGGTTTCTCAAAATCAAGGAACCTAATTTGATTGGTTGGGGGGAATTTCTACTGTTTTTTTAGTGTTCAAAGTGGCGTCTTCGAGCAGAGGTATAAATAAATTTTATAATAGAATAATAGAATAGGCCTGTTTGTTCTTTTGAACAACTAAAATTATCTGAATTGTCTTTCGTATACTCTTCAGAATTAATGGCTATTTTGTTTTCAAGCTCTTGGCTGGAACAGCGGGCTCAGTCAGTTTGTCAAATGTATATCATGTGAGTCCCGAAAAACGCTGAGAAAGGGTTGTCTGAAAGCTAGAATCTTAGGACATAGGGTTGTTTTTTACTCAGTCAGAGGAACCACAAAAATGGTAGGAATTTACTGATATGATGTTATGAAGAGGTTTTTGGTAAATCAATGGTTATACAGTACAACAAATTCTGCAGTGGCATCTAGTTATGTCTGTTGCTCAAATCTCAGATAAGAAATTCAAGTCTTTGTTTAAGGATGTTACACTCAAACAGGTCATGAAATCAGCTGTGCATGAAATCAGCTGTGCATGAAATCAGCTGTGCATGAAATCAGCTGTTCCACTTTTCTGTTGCTAAAACCTTGCACTGCACTAATCAAATAATTTTTTACCTATGATGGAAAACAATGCCTAGAAAAATATATTTTCTAAAAATTGTCAACTTGTTACTTTCAATCCCTTTTGCACTGTCAGATAAGCACTGCCAATTAATCAGTTTCAGTTTCATTTATTGGTAAAATCAATGCTATATACAATTTAACACAATTACTACACAACTACAAATTTACAATATATATACCATACAGATTAAAGGAAAGTACGCTACAGATACTGGAAAAAACAACATGATGGCATTCACGTTTGATTATGTAAGAGCTCTCTAAATGGAGTAACTATGGGCCCATTGAAACAAAGAGACTTAAAAAAGAATAAAACAAAACAAAAATCTGATGTTTATTAAAAAATCCTCTTGGTATATGTAATTTTTCTCATTTCAGCTACTTTACTACAGTTAGGTACCATGCAAACTTATGACTAGCTCAGGCCTCACTAAAACTACCCTGGGTACCAGAGCCGCAGTTAAATTTTTGCGGCTCTGGTGCAGTACCACTAGCTGGGTGTGCCTTTAAATGTCCCAATGAGAACAACCCAACCCATTTACTCAAAATTGTTTCAGTGAACATCTGGCAGAAAACTGAAAACAACTGGTTACTTTTTAATATGCAAACAACTTAAAATGCCGAAATCCCACAAAAAAGCCCCTGCTCATGGGCCTGAATTATACTACGTCTAGTGAGAAAAGTTTGACAATATGAACGAGCCTCTGTTGTTGCTTAAATTCATGGAAATTGACTGCATTCTTCTTTGAACGTCAGAACATCTGTTAAAAAGGTTTCCTGCAAAGTTCATTCTTTCAGTTCCGTCTCAGTGTATACCATAAAACCATAAAAGATATCAAATCAAACTGTAGGCCTTTTTATAATTTTAACAAAATTTAATTTATTCCTGTACCCTCGAAGCGATGTGGTAATCGTTAATGAGTCTCCACGATTGCAGAAGGTTGAGTCTCTCAAAAAGCACAATATTTATTTTCTGTGCATGACTATGGATCTTAAATTAGATAATAGGGACATTTTTTGGACGCAAAGAGGTAAATGTAATAACTGCATAGGCTTCCAAATATTTAAATATTTGGCACTGACGCAATAAATTTTCAGTGATACTTCTCTTTATTTAAATCCAAAATTATCCGACTTGACTAAAGTAATGTTAATAGCACTGTTTAGATTCAGCCAAACTCAAATTCGTAGGTTTATCCTTTCTTTACTCAAACTAGACAATGGGTGGAAACTAGCTGGATGATACATCGTATATTTTTATGTTATGTATAAACTACATTTTCCATATATTTTGTCAGTTGATTGCACATTGACATGAATGGTTTAACATTATAATAATTCCTTTCTCTTATATAACACAAATAGGCTATGGGCTAATTCTGTGATTTTTCCATGTGTTTCTCCTGTAATTATTACTCTTTTCAATAGAATTCTCTGTCAAATTAAAGGTCGATGGCACTAAGAAATATGGTGCAGTTTTCAACATTTTAAACTATATGTCAAATAGTGGTCATGGTGCTGCACAATCTCAGTCAAATAGAAAAAAGTATTGATTATCTACTTTGTGAGAGAAAATATAGCTTTTATGATCTGCTAGTTTTTACTCATTGTAGGGTATTTGGAAGTTGACACAACTTTTTCATTCCATTGTAAAAAATATTAAACACAATGTTGTGAAGTAAGCAATTTGTTGCAGTAATAGTTTTACTGCTGTCTGATTTTGTTAATATACATTATGAACCATAAGGGATTTTTATTAAACTCAAAATTAGTGAATTCTGCGCTTTAATATGCCTTTAAACATAAATTTGAGAAATAGAATGGTTCTTACCCATATTGGTTTCCAAATTACTTGCTTGAGCTTGAGAATATTCTCAGTGAAAAGGGTTGCAAAATTTGGCAAATTCAGAAAAAAGAGTACATTTTAAGCAACTCAGAATCGAGAAATTAGGGTCCTGTTTCTACTTTCAGGAACACACAGGTATGCTTGTATACTGTATGCTTGTGTCAATAACAATTGTAAAATGCTTTGCTATTTACCGTAGCTAACATGAATAAAAAAATGGGGGGAAATTTTGCAAAAAGGGCGTGTCCCCGCATTTGCGAATGTTTGAAGGGCGTGGTCCCAAAAATATTTTGGGGGCTACGCCCCAGACCCCCCGCTGTTGCAGCCCTGGGTACGCCACTGGACCAACTGACTGAGCCCGCCGGGGCCCAGTCTGCAGAGTATGGCATGTGCACACAGGAGATATTTTTGTTCAAAACCTGTTGCACACCGGGTATTTTTGGGTGTGGCAACTAATATGGGCGTGTCTGGGTGTGGTCCCATAGAAAATTCTGTGGCTTCTATTGGAATGACCCAGACAAGAAGAAGAAAGGGCGGGCAAAAGAAGAAGGCACGTGAGGCATTCTTACGATGAAATGCAAATTTAAAACTTTAACCACAACAGGGGGAAATTTAATAGCTGGTTCACACCAGCACACCAGAAATTTTTGGTGGTGCACACCGGCACACCAGGCTTTTTACTCCGGAGATCTCGTCGGAAAGTGCCATACTCTGCAGACCGGGCCGGGGCTCTTGGCGAGTCTTTGCATGGGACGGCGAGGCAAGCTGTTGTTCTTGTGCTCAGAATAAATTGTTGATGTCAGCGAACAAGAAAAGCGACTCGGTTGTGCAGACTCCACTCTTTCTCCCCTTTTCAATTTCTGACTTTGCACGCAGGCTAGTTTTTAGGATAAAGCAAACAATCGCAACAGTGGAAGTATGGGCGATGGGCGACCTGACGACCATTTTATTCCCGCCTCGTTTAGGTTTGTACTGAACATCACGACACCCTGCAGGAACCATTCTGTGACAGAACCATAATGAGTGACGTTGCGGTAAACAAATGTTTATTATATAGTAGTTATTGTATAAAATATAGTTTTATATATGTTGAATGTTGCATCGAGTAGAATTGACCGTCAAGTATTTTGTAATTAAATTTGATAAGGAATTAGGATGATATAAGGCTGCTTCAGGGCTCCTCTCAACGTAAACATCCGTTAAGATTCGTAGGGATAAAGTAGGACTGTGGTCTACTTTCTGCGAATCAAATTTTTTCGCTGCAAATTTGGTAAAGTGACACCACGCATGCTCACATTCACAAAAATATTCGTGCGAAAGAGTTTCGGTTTTCACTTTTTTTAAATTGTTTAAAAATTCCACTACATAGGCCTTTACAATGTTAATTCTATTACTCTATTCTATTACAACATACCCTACCAGAACAAAAGTATTGTAACACCTGCGAAGGCGATTAATGGCGGACCATGCAATAACTTTTGTTGTTGTCTGATTTAGCTATTGTTTAATCAGCCAATGCACGCAAATAAAATTGCAAATTCAATGAAGCGTTAATTCGAATATTCCATTTCCATTTTTCAAAATTTTAAATCAGCAATTCAAGTAACTTTTAATTAAACTTTGTGGAGGTGCTTCTGGCTCTGATAAGTACGGGAAATTGCTTTGGAATTGATGCACAAAAATTGTTGATGAAATGCACTGGGATTCTGTTTCATTCTCAATAAACTCTCTAAGTCAGTTTTGTTTGGACCTTAGAGAACCTTGTGGATTTCAAATCAGATCATTTTTATTGGCAACAACAAATATTCGTTTATTTTAAGGTTAGGTCTTTGTGATAGCCGAGGAAGTACATAGAGTTTGCAGATTTGCAGGTAAATTTGAGTAAAAATGGCCATTTAAGGGGGATCTATTGCTTTTTATGATAAAAACAGCCTTCCTCATTTTCCTAGCATTGATTTGATTCCACCAAAGAAACTGTTTTGCATTATTTTGACATGTTTCACTGCATTTACTCGCACTATTTATATGGGCCTAACTGTGCCCAAAAAGATTACCCAAGGTGAAATGGAAAATTTTGGGGCTAAAGAAGTCGGGAATATTGACTTAATTTGTTGTTACCTGATCTTTCGCTATTTTGCTTTCGTTTTCTGTGGAAAGTTTCAAAATCTTTAGAAGTAAAAGACCAGTTATACGAAGTTTATCACAACTACAAACTCCTTATCCTCTCGATATTTTGATTTTACCACTGCAGATACTTTTTCTTAAAACTGTAAGATTTCTTAGGTTAATATTGTAATTCTGAGTATTTCGAAATCCTCGATAAATTTCAAAGAATTTGACTACTGGTTTGGCCTGATTATTTTCTCTCTTAAGGGGAATATTTCAGCGTAAAGATACTAGTTTACAAAACTTAAATTTTTTTGGATGCCATTTTCGTTTGGGTGTTGCAATACTTTTGTCCTGGTAGTGTACAGTACAATTTAAATATAAGTTTGAAAAACATGAAGACTTATAACAACATGAAAACATATAACAAATTGTATGACTAGAGCTTCTTAAGCCTGATTTACACGAGATGAATTTTTTCGTACGAAGCGAATTTTTTGCCGCGAATCCGCAAATAATATTTGCAGTTGTAGAAAATTTGCAGCGAATTTGCTGCGAATAATTTGCAGCGGATTTGCAGCGAATAATTTGCTGTGAAAAAGTATAAACCATTTCCACTTTTTCGCTGCCAAATTTTTAGCCTTGTAAAATAAACCAATCAGAACAGCATTTGAAGACATCTGACTTCTGTTTTGGTTTCAGATGGCCTAAATCTTTCTGCATTTTTTTTTCCAACACTCTTGCCCATAAAACATCAAAAAAATTGGTTGGTAATTATTCATTTCCTGTTCCTCATACACAATCCATGTAAGTGGATTCATATCAGATTATTATTCAAACATTTGAATTTCAAATTGACGAAAACTGGCTTGAAAGTTTCATCGTTCTACCAATATGTCAAAATTAAAATATTAGGCAAGAATTTCTTCAAATTGCTAAAGATGTCCTGAATGTTTCTAATCCAGTATCGCTTTTTGCTGTTTTGCTCGCTTTTTTGATAAATTTGAAATTTTAAGCTTTCTGATAAGAGCACTCTTTGGACAGTCGCTATATTCTTTTGTAATATTTGCAGCGAATTCGCATAAACATTTCTGCCAGTGTAAATTGAACTTCAAATTTGAAAGAAAAATTTGCAGCTAAAAAGTTTGTGGCAAAAAATTCGCTTCGCGCGAAAAATTTGTTCCATATAAATCAGGCTTTATGAGGAACCTCCTCAACAGCTAAACTTATCAAGGAAGAGCACCCCCATTTGCAAAAATGGTTTATTTTCCTTTGAAGCAGAGCTGCCGAGAGGTTTCAGAGGCTCTAGGACGAAACCGAAAAGCAAGGCCCTCTGCAGCTTAAAGTGCATTTCAGAACCTTTCTTACAGTCATTTTCCTGCAATCATTTTTAAATTTGTAACTATTTGAGACATGCATTTGCTATCTCTGTTTTATTCAATTCTTAAAATGGAACTTATTTTATGAGGTCCCCAATATCTGGAGGCCCCCTTCTCCTCTGTTTCGGTTGCCCTGCTTTGAGGTTTGAAATGTAAAAGCTTTAGACCTGTCAACCTAAAATTTTCAAAACTTTGAGATTTCAGATTTTTTGTAGAGAAAAACAGGGAGATTTGGCCAAACACAGGGAGATCCCTGGTATCTGTTGAATTTATAAACAACATACCTGTAAAAATAAGTCATGTTAGACAAACAGTTAATGACAATAATTATCATGGGAAGCTTCTTCCTGGTGGTTTTTAACATTTTCGTCAATTTGTGAACACTAACAAAAAACTTACTCACAAAGAAAGTCATTTAGATGAAAAGTCAATTTTGTAAAAAAAATGCTTCAGTTTGCAGTTTCCAGTACAATTTTTTAGCTTTGCAACATCTAACAGTATTAGAACTATAATTGAACAAAGACTCAAAGACTTTGTCAAAGAGTAACATTTCCATGTCAAATCATCCAAGAATTCTTAAATCTCTGACTCATGGGTTTGATTGCATTCATTTTAACATACCCTAGACATCATTACCAAATATGATGAAATCCAAAATTCCACTTTGACTTCTCAAGTCCTTCAAAAGTTATAGAATGATGTTCAAAATTCTAGGCAGTTCTCATGAAATGTGAAGAAGAGGGTGTAGCCCTGCCTCATTAATGTAAACATAGAATTGTATCTACTAAAGCTGTAACTGAATATTGGTATTCTGTCTAAAGAGACAAAGAAAATATTAGCTTCATATTCTAGTATTAGTTCAAACACTTACATTCTAATATAAGTAAGCAAAATAACTAAATTTATTCAATGTAGTGGAATTTTAAATTGTACTGAACTGAACTAAATATACCTAGAATTCAACTGGCATAAGTTGAATCTCCTAGGACCATAGAAAATGTTCTAACTTATACAAAGTTGCAAAAATCCACAATGATAAGCTGTACGAGGCGGCATCTTATTTTTAGTTCTCCTTCTTTAGGTGTCATACCCACAGGTTTTAACAATCATGGTTTTCCATCTTTCTTGATCCCGCACTCTATGAACTACTTCTATGGCTGACTCAGCACCTAGTCACCTATGCAGACCATCTATGTGCTTCTCCCTATGCCTTCCCTACTTTTTTTTCCTGTCAGCTTTCCTTTTGTAGTAAAGTGCTCAAGACCAGTTTTTTTACTATGTGACCAAATCTTGCCCCCACTCTTAATTTGAAACCAGAAAGGGAATTTTCTACCTAGTAAATGATGATAAGACAGAGCAGATTTCACTTTACATAAGGCCTTTTTTAACCCAACAATATGATGACCATAAACCTATTGATTATATGGTTCATCCTTGTAGCAAGGTTTTATGTACTTTATATATTTTATGATAATATAAATAATATATTTTATGTTTCATTATCTGGTAATATAAATTATAAATAAATAGAATTAATGAACACCTTCCCCTCATCCTATAATTAAGTCCTAAACAGGGTGATGTTTCCACACATTTTTGCTCACAGTGTGCCATGTGCCTATTCTATTGTTTTGATTAGCAGCACATTTACTAAAATTTTCAGATTTTGAATGGTGTGAGAGTCAAATACTTATAGCCCCTATTACCCTAAAACATTGCATACTTAGAAAAATTTAGTTGCAAAAGTTTTTCATTTTGGTTGGTATTACAAAACAATTAGCATATTGAATTTCCTTTAAGGAGAAGGAGCCATGGAATATGTCCGTTGCTGAAAGAGTTGAGTTTGCAAAACAAATGAAAGAGATTGGAAGAAGGTATTTCTTGGTATGTTACTGTACAAAGTATTTTGCCATTTTAACTTCAAAAAACAGGATATCAAGTTTTTTTTTGTAGACTGAAAAAAACTAAATACAGAGGCCCTAAAACAAAATCTACTCTGTTGTCCTCATCACAAATTGCTGAGATTTATCATTCGATCTCTTGCATCATGTTTTAACAAATCAAATGCTGAATAAACCAATGGCCTGACAACAATACCCATTCTCCTTAATTGCTTCAGCTTTTGTTTTTTGTGACTACCTTTTACTCAAAAGAAATCACTTCTGTTGACTAAAAACTAAAACATGCTTTTTCTGCCTGTCTGGATGAAAATTGAGCACCCATGATATCAGAAAATGATTGACTAGCTGCTTTCCAATCATGAATGCTCAAACTCATTCATTTATTGGTCATATTTGACACAAAGGCCTTCTTTCCAAACTCTCCTAATGTTTGGTCTTTATCAAAACCTTATAAATTGGATTAGCGATTTTCTCTCAGACAAGTTCATAGCCTTCAGAGTTGATGGCTACCTCTCCAGTCCAAACTCAATTAATGCTGGTGTTTGAAAAGGTTGTCGCTTAACTTCTGTTTTATTCATCCTTTCATAAATTATCTACTAACCTCCACCACTTCAAGTATTTATTCTTTTGCTGACGACACTTAAGTGAGCTCTACATTTTTCTTGAATTGTCCACATAATTCTGCTACCAACACCCTCCTTCGAAAAAGTATTTCAGCCTTGCCATGCAAAAATCGACAAGTGGAGTAAAGAGAATCTTGTTAAGTTTAATCAAACTAAAGTAATGTAGGTTTTTTCATTTCACCCAAACACAACCCCAACTTTTCCCCCATCGTTATGGAATTGTAACCACCCCTGAGACATGCACGCAATAGCAGACACTTTTCCATTGTTCCCCCTTTCCAAGGCTCTTCGCCAAATGCACGAACTAAATCCCACAACTTTTGTTTCCTGCCTAGATCTTGTAAATTTTGAAATGCTCTACCTCTTTCCTGCTTCTCAGACTTTATTTGTACATTTAATTGTTTAGTCAAAGTCTGCCCACATCAATCAGTTTATTTCTGTGTTTTGTTAAAAGTAACTAGCTTCTTCATTTATCTTTTGGTGAGCAGCTTGCATCTTGAAATGGCCTCTTGAACGTTGTTATGGTTTCTCACTTTAATCGCTTTTCTTTTGTTATATTGATACAGCAGTTTCCCTTTTATTAATCTCTAGAGAAAAAGTTATGTGTGAATATTGTATCCCACAAAATGTTTGATTACCCCCACATACATTTTAGAAATGATGTTAGGTTTTTTTCGCAAACTCATTATCGTTTTGATGCATTGTGTACTTGGTTTCTCTTAGGATGGTCTTGTTGAAGACGCAATGGAAAGTTACAGAAGTGGTCTAAAAAGATTAATACCAGCATATGATCTTCCTCATGACCTGCTGTCGGAAGTAAATTCTTTGAAGCTTTCATTTTACCTCAACATAGCAGCTTGCCAGATAAAATTAGGACTTCCTCAACATGTTGTCAAGAACTGCTCAAAAGCGTTGTGTATTGATAATAGAAACATTAAAGCATTTTATAGAAGATCAGTTGCCTGGACTGAGATCAATGAATTTGAAAAAGCTCGAGAAGATATCAAGGCAGGCCTGTTAATTGATGAAAAGAATAAAACATTTAAGGTTCAACTAGCTAAAATTGACTTAAAATGTAAAGAGCAGAATATGAAGTATAATGGAATGTTAAAAAAATGTTTGAGTGGATAGCACCGCACATGTTCTAAGGAATCCAATCCAATCATTCGGCCTCAAATAACAGAGTCAAGTGCGGTGTTTGAACCAGGCACAAAGCTAAGAGAGGGGACACGGGGAGCATTGCCCGTCCACCTAAAATTTTATGCCCCTCTCTGCCCCAAATCATCCTTATGTCTAAAACCTTAGGAAAAGGCGTCTTCCTACTGACTTGAAAAAGACAGTCGGTTTCAGCAAAGATTTTGCATTGTGATGAAAACCAATGGCGACTGACTCGAGCCAACTACTCATATCCTTCAGCCTGCCTTGAATGCTTTTTTGTTCACTGAGCAAAGTAGATACTCAGAACAAAGACGCCAAATAGATATCACTTTTCAAATATTTATTATCCATTTTTGTTTGAATTCCAAACCTTGAAAACTGTTTGAAAGTAGACAAAATGGGAAGGCTCTGTTGCACATATCATCATGGCTTAGCTCCCTTTTACGATAAGTTGTTTTATTTATTTTTTGAAATATGCATTAGAAAACAAAATTATATTCAAATACTTGCGTTTCCAATCGCTAGTGACAGAAGATTACAAAGACTCTAAAAAGATTCCTTACATTGCAGAAGTTCTTTATCAGGTGCAAGCTAATAACTCTGTATCAAATTCTGTATCAAGTTCTTGAATGTTCTTCAATACCGTTACTGAAGTTCTTGTCTCTAAATAACAAGCAACGAGGTCAAGTGGCTTACAGGCCGATTGGATTACAGCCGATTGTTGAGGTTCTCCTAGTTTTGGTAATGAAGCAAACACCGACTGCTGCACCATGTTGGTGTGCTGAATAAATTCAACTCTGTGTAATTCCAATTCTCCTGGGGATAATCAAAATATTACATTTATCATCAGGCAACTGTAACTTTACGAAAGACCGGTAAACAGTAATTTTCATTAGTTTGATAATCGTTATTATTTATAAACTCTTAAATTTTCAAAGAGTAATACCAACATTGAGATAACATTGCTTTTATCACTATAGGGCTTGCTTCATGCTGACGACTCAAAAAGCTAACGTCCATTCTCAGTTTAAACATAAATTGCATGCTCTAATCAGAATTAGCCAAACCTAACGAGAACTTAATTTTGGTTGTGCGATTGCTAGACCTTTTCTGAAGTAGCATTTGAACTTTTAATCGCCCAAATGAGCACAGCTTCAGACATTCCATGGACAGTTATATCCTGCCTGCCTTGATTGTAATGTTGATAATCCTGCCTGAAAAATCATTTATCCTGCAATCTCCAATTTCCATTGCAGCAAAAAAGTTCCTCTTTGCGGCTTATCGGATTTTCATATTAGCCACAACTCGATTGGACACGTAAACCTTATGTCATTTAGTTTTGTTTACCGATGCAGATTTGACCCTATTTGCTAATAGGATTATTCGAGAAGGAAAACTTGATTTTATCAAGATAACGTAGAGTGTGCCGTTTGGAATTGGTGTCGCTTGGTCCTTGTTTTACTTTTTGGATTTCCATCCATGACGTTTTCAGTCATCTTTCGAAAGTTAAAATAGCAGCAGCCTCTAAAACCGTTATTTTGTATGGTGCAAATTTATTGTAGATAATTCCTTTCTAGATAATTCGAGGATTTTCGATAAGCTACCAATTTATTGTATTACAGTAACGTTTTTCAAATTTTCACATTTTTTTAACCTTCTATATTGGCTACACATGTAGCTATCCATTACATCTTGCAATCAATTTCAGAAAAATGGAAAGTATTTGATAGCTTTTGATTGCTCTCATCCTTGTATCAAGTAAGGGGTCCGGAAAACAGGCTACTTCTCCTAGAGAGAGAGGGTCAGGAACAAAGCAATACGACGACGAGAATCCAACGTGATGAGATAAAATTTTAAATAAATAAAATTTAGCAAGTACTTATATATTTATTTCGGCCGGGCATATAGGGCTTCATTAGAGAAAATGGAACGAACGAGGAGTGAGATGTGCGATGATGATACCGGATTAATTGATATGGAATTGTATGAATGCAGCACAGCGGAGAAAAAATGGGATTTTAATGAAAGTGAGGAAGGAAGGAGTGGTGGGTGATGTGACGGAATGTGGATGGTGCTGTCGAGGTTGGTGATAATGGGAGATACTTATCCTACAGGGGAGGAGATATGCAGCAGTATTGTGCAAATTGTGATACAAGCACCAAAATTTCAAAATACACTAAATTTCATACGCTGAAAAAGATGTTATATAGACCCAAATCATATCTTGCCCCTTAGGTCTATTTTTAGACTAAGGTACTCTGATACAGACCCTAATCGTACCATTGGCCATAAACGGAGAAAGTCAGATCATAGAAAGGTGAAATTCACAATATAACGACAGTTTGACACGCTGAACAACATGTGATATAGATCAAAATCATGCCTTGCTCCAAAGGTCCATTTTTCGATCCTCAATTAGGGGACTGTACCATCTTTTTTAGCGTGTCAAACTTACTATTTTCTGAAATTTTGGTGCTTGTATCATAATTTGCACAAGCCTGCTGTATTTCTGCATTTATCTTCTGCACTACTAGGCTTGCACAAGAACTATAGTACACTTTAACTTATACTGGGTACCAGAGCCTTTAACTTTGCTGACTTTCTCTTTCTCGTTGGAAGGATATATCCCTGGACACTCTGCAACCCATAACCACGGGGTTTACCTAGAAGACATTTTTCGAACGACAGTCAAAAACCTAAGATACAGTAATGAGAATGATACCAATATGTTTATTTTTTCTATCAGGTCAAGCAGTTAACCTGAGGGCGCGATATGATATCATATGTAACGAATGATGAAACGAGTCACGTGGTACAAAACTTGTCAGTTCCTGTTAAAAAGTTGTATGATCCTGAGTGTTTTTGGAATGATCAGTCTATGAGTATCCAAACGAAGTGAAGTCTGTTATCTTGTCTCTCTTCTTGTCGAACCTAAACGCTACCGTTTCACAATGCAGCTGAGCTAGGCAGGCAATTTTGATAAAAGTAAGTTTGACTTAAGAAACTCTCCGTGATTTTGTTTGTTTGCAATGCCATGTTTTATAAAACTGCGATTGGAAAAGCTTTGTAGTGTTTACTTGGTGATACTTCTTTCATTAAATTTTTATCTTGCAACGAAAATAAATCAAGAAAATTCCCAAATTTGTTTACTTGATTACGGGTTATAGTACGAGTTTCGAACTTTGATCCTACCACCAACTTTCTACCTCCTAACACCCCTTTTACCCCCTCTTTATTATATCTTACGATTTGATCTGATTACGAAACTGAAACAAAAGTAGTTTAGCACACTTTTTTATTTTAAACCCTTAGCTTAAAATTGGCAAGGCTCCTTTGAGATTTAAATCTGCATATTCCTTGTTCAGAGTCAATGCTCATACTTGCCGTTCCTTAGATTTTTCACAAAATTCATTGTCTAACTTGCTCTCTGAACTTGTGTAATTCATTAGATTCCCCCTGCCGTCTAAATTTTACTTTTAACTACATCATTGTCGGCTAGAAATATAGTTAATTACGGCAGCAAAGATGTTCAAACGAACTTACAAGCACACGTGAAGGCCGGGTTACACGATCACATTTTACCATCACTTTTTTCGATATTGGACCAACATGCTGAAAAGTGATCGTGTAACATACTAAAATTGTCCATTTTTGCTGCAGAATTTAATGCGCTTACCTGCTGTTAATCCTCTATCATTGGAAATTTTACTCTGAACGAAAGCAGAGTAAAATCGAGTTCATCACTTTTTTTCAAAGGCGCCGACAAATTCTTACGTCACATGATGAGAAGGGCACGGCCTAGAGTTTCGAGAAAAGAAGAAAAAGACGCGAATTGTGCTCAGAAACATAATTATTAGCAGAAAACGAATATGAATAATGATTTGGAGTAAATCAAAGAGCAGCCAATTACAGAATAATAAATGCAGTTAAATAAAATACACTCATTTTTTATAAGAAACCATCCTCGACAGGGAGTACCCCAGTTCCTTAAGGTTCACAAAATTTTAGAGCTCAAGAGTTTTTAGAATACTTCTGTGTTATTCTCAAAAAACAAGAGCCTCGATACTTTAAATTTTGTTTCCTAATCACTGTGTAGTTTTATTCTTTTTTTAAGTTTGTAGTGTAAGTAAGTTTAGTCAAAATTAGCAAAAGAAAATCAAGAAATTCTCGATTCTTGCTTATTCTCAATCTATATCAGTTTTGCAGTTTCTTGCTCGAGTATTGGAGTTTCTTAACCTTTTCTCATTTTCGAGTACTGGCTTTTATAGACGGTTTCTTATAAAAAATGAGTGTATTTTATTAAACTGCATTTATTTTTCTGTATTTGGCTGCTCCTCGATTTACTTCAAATCATTGTTCATTTTCTATTTATCCTAATAATTATGTTTCTGAGCACAATTCACGTCTTTTTCTTCTTTTCTCGATACTCTAGGCCGTTCCCTTCTCATCAAAACATCATGTGACGTAAGAATTTGTCGGCGCCTTTGAAAAAAAGTGATGAACTCGATTTTACTCTGCTTTCGTTCAGAGTAAAATTTCCAATGATGGAGGATTAACACCTGATAAGCGCATTAAATTCTGCAGCGAAAACGGAAAATTTTAGTATGTTACACGATCACTTTTCAGCATGTTGGTCCAATATCGAAAAAAGTGATGGTAAAAAGTGATCGTGTAACCCGGCCTTTAGGCAAGAGAGATCTACAGAGTTGACCAGATTAGCAATTGCATTAATCAAAAAGCATTCTTGACAGCAAGGCAATATACATATACTGTAAAATTAAAAACGAGAAAAACTATTTTCGCCGATATCGTCTTCAGAAATTATTTATTATTCGTGAAAAATAAATATTTCTTTAACAAGACATTAGAAAAACGTCGTCAAGTTGGGTAGGCATAACCTTGAGTCTTTCACTAGTTACATATCCCTGGAGATATGAAAACTTGGTGGGTATAACCTTGAATCTTTGACTTTGTTTGCTATTGAAAAAGTACAGCTATCTATACCAGCGTAAATATGACCAAAGGTTGATAGACAAGACTGGGCTGTATAAGCCGATTTTGCCGAAACGTTCTAGTTTCTCTGCTCTATGCCTCACCACAAAGTCTTCCTTAAATTGTTTTACAAAGCAGGTGGACATTTTTGCCACACAACAAAACCTCTACCATTAAGGGAGAATTTTTACAGCACAAAACACGTAGATAATTTGATACAATCTGGCAGTTTCCGGTCAAGACTCATGGTATTAAGAATGCTGCTTGTAAAAACAAGAGAAGCTGGAATATCAATAACCCTTGCCATATTGGCTTGCTACTGAACCAATATGCAGATACATGGAATCGCGGATCTTCGACCAAAGCCGGATTAAGGTGAGTGCTTTTGGTGCTGCAGCACTAGGCCCATTCCTGAAATTAGCCTAGATGAAAACAAATGAGACTTTTCTGAAGCCAAATAGGCCAAGTAACAGGCCATTTTTGTACTGCGGCATCAGGCTTATTTTGAGCTTAATCAGGCAGTGTCTTTAAGAGATAACCTGAATATTGATACTAACAAATAAATATGAAATATATAATATTATGAGGCAATAAGAAACTAATAATTCATTTTATAAAAATACCGGAATCTGTGCTATTTTTAACCAATTTTGTTATCTTTCCAACATATCTAAAAGCCACAAAGAGTGAAGCACAAAATAATATCATATCCAAATATTATCCTGAAAAAAGGAAAATGATATACATCATCGGTATTAATGCGGCAGTATTCTGTCGAAAGCAATATTTTGAAACTCGGCAGTATTCTTACTGTACCAAAAAACATAAATTTAAAATAGTTTGTAACGTAGATCTTTTTTACGGTGGACTTGATATTCTTCTTGGTTTATTTAGTAAAGAGTCGATTGTCCAAGACCCATCATTAGCAAGTGAAAAACGGGATCACTCTTCGGTCAGTTCATTAAATGTAAATGCTATTCCTGAAAGTTTTGAGATGACCATTCTGAAAATTCTAATTAAAAACTTGCTGTGTAACAAAAGGATGGGGAAATAATAGCATGAGACATTATGCTATTTTCTCTGGTAAGATGGTTTTTATCCAAAAACAATGAAAAATTAAGCGAATTAGAGCCCAGCCTTCTACCCAAATGTGTCTTTTTCAAAACATTTATAGAAAAGCGTATATTGTTAGTAATTTATATATCTATATTTACAAGCAAGCCCCGTAGTTAACTGTCCTATTGTTCGACAAGTTATCTTTGTTGAAGCAACTTAAATCAATTCTTGTGGCTTTCCCGGTGCTTGATAAAGTTTCCAAAAGTAGAAAAACTCTCAGCACAAACACTACAGTCATACGATTTACTCTCCTTTTTTGATTTTGAATATGTTCCACTAGGCTGCACCTCTAGTGCACTTTCATCGGTACACATCCGGGCTTTAAAACCCTCTTCCACAGCCACAGGGACCTGGCTTTGAATATTTGCTTCCAATGGGTGGGAAAAAAATCTCCAATCGGCACAGGGGCTTATCCTGGCATTAAAATCATTTGGGCTTAACATAAAACTGCCTGGAGGTAACATAGCAGGTTTAGGAGCAACTGCCCCTGAATGCGGCTCTCCAACCTTTGAGTAAGTTTCCCCAGCTGGTACAAAGTACGGTACAAGAAGAACTGTGCCTTGTGTGTACATATTCAATTTGGCACAGTCTGGTGATATGACTGTAACGGGATGGGATGCTTTGTCTTCAGCTCTTGAATGGGCAGCCTGCAGCGGATCCAAGTAAAACCCTGGTGCATCATTAGCCTCAATAGGGTCAACGTTTGAAACGCCTATCTGGTTCTTCAAAATATTGTTGCTTTTTACCATATCAGTTCTCTGTGAAAAGGCAGGATTACAACTACGAACATCAGCAATGACGATATGGTCTAACGATGAATTGCTACTACCCTCATAATGATTAGCACTTGTTTCAGCAATATTTACTGGGCCTTCAAAAAGCTGATCATTACACATGCCGATGTTATCATTGAGATCTACCTGGTCTGGTCTGTTAGCTGGATCAAAAACAGTGTATTCACTTTTTCTGGCATACGATGGGTATGTATTGCCATTTACTCGGCCATTGAAACTCGATTCATTCACAACACAATGCGCATTAGGTTTACCAACATTGCCGATAGGAGGCTCGCTGCCTTCATTATTCAGAATACACCTCATAGAATGGTATCGTAGCTTGTGCAATGCAGTGAATGACCTACCACAGTTACTACATGCATGTAAATGTGCTTCTGTATGTATTTTTTCATGCTTTGAGAGCTGCTTCTGATGCGGAAAGCATCGTTTACAAAAACGACAACTGTATTTTCTACTTAAAATTCTTTTTCCATTTTTGCTTGGCTTTATTTCTGAAACTGCTTTGTCCTTCATGACCAATGGAGATCGCGGCAAAGATACACAATCAGTGTCCTCAGGGTTGAAAAGAACTTTCTGAGTAGAAGTCTCCGTGCTTTGTTCCTCACGACATATACTTCCCAAAAAAACATTTCTTTGATCCAAAGCCAGAAGCTGGCTATCTTCCATATTCTCTTCTTGGCTCTTTTTCTTTTCTAGGGTGATCTTAGTAAGACTTAGTTTGCGTGTGTCATTTTCACTTTTACCTTTTGTCTTGACAAAGTCACTAACATCCCTGACAAACTCTGGCAAAACTACTTCCATATTGCTTTGTGTTTCAGTCTCCTCAATTAAAGAGCGGTTGGCAGAGTCTTCAGTCACGCAAATATGCTCGTTGTAATTAAATAGTCTTGGAAATGACTTTCCACAAGTTCTACAATGATATATACAACTGCCACTTCGTTTAGCACCTCCTTTTCGGCTCTTCACTGTCTGGTCTCCAGCTAGAATATCCTGATTATTGGCACCAAGGGAATTCCCTCCTACTGCAGCAGTTTTATCATGGGAACGTAGGTGCTGCTTCAAGATTCCTTTTGATCTACACATTTTCCCGCAAATTAAGCATTTTAGAAACAGGTTATACTTTCCTTTAACAACACTGTATTTCGGCACAACCTGGAAATTTGGTCCGGAATGAACGGTTTTGTAATGGTGATCAAGCTCCCATTCGGTTTTCAAGAGAACCCCACAATCTAAACAATGGCATGGGTCTTCGTGACTTCCTTTTGGTTTCAGTTTTTTTGTACCAAATCTTTTCTTTTTGAAACCTTTTCTCCTAAAAAACTTAGGAGTTTCCCCCTTCGTTTCAGATAGCGCAGAGCTTTTGTTAGCATCTTCCTCTTCATTTGCCTTTGCTTGCTCAGAAGCAGAAGCAGAGAGATTTTGACCAAGGTTGGTGGCTTTTTTATATCTGTTACTATAACCCTCTTCCTTTTTAGTATATAAAGATTTAGAGACTTCGATATTGTGCTCACTTTTCATGTGTGCTGCAACTTTATCTAGAGAATTGGTTTGTTTCTTACAAATCAAACACTGATATGAGAATCTTGAAGCTCCATTTGTCCAATTGTATCCAACTTTGAATCTCTTGAAACCTTTGATCATATAGTTAAATTTGTGCAGCGCATGCCGCGAGTGTTTCTCTTTTAAGTGCTTTCTCATTTTCAAAGCAGTTGGAAATGAGATCAAGCAGGCCTCGCAATGAAATAATTCTCCATTATCAGTTATGTCTGGTGGGAAACACGGAGATGATTCTGGTTCATTTCTTACAGCTTCATAATCAGTTTTAATCTCATTTTTGGATAAATTGACCACTTCTTGTGCTCTCTTCTCTTTATTTCTATGCATGACCGTTACGTGTCTTTTTAATTCAGTTTCTCCGGCAAGCACTTTTCCACATTCTTCACACTTTGAAGGACCTAACTGCTTTTTTGCGTGGTCTTTCTTTAAATGAAGTCTGATACTGCGAATTGTGAAACACAAAGTCTCACAAATTTTACACTTGTACATCAGAACATTTCTGTTATTTGTTTTTTTCGTTACAACTACACTTTCAAAGTTGACCCAAGATGCTTTGTTGACACGGGAGTCATTTACCGTTATTGAAGAACTTGGTGACTTGCAATTAACATCTTTTTTGTCCGCATGTTCTGATTGCATGTGCACATCAAGAGAATTCATGTTTTTGAATTTCTTTGAGCAGACCGTACATGAAGTGCTACCACTGTCGTGCATATTTGTATGCTCCGTTTCGAAGTGCTTTTGCAGCCCATTTTCAGTTCGGCATCGTTTCTTACATATACTACACTTCAGTTCCGTTGTGTATGTTCCTGAAATCAAAAGCGATAAACAGTACAAATTTCAGTCAAAACATGGCTACGAATATTCCTTAGAAGAGCTACGAACATTTGGAAATAGAATAATTTTTATTAGACTATAATGCCCATGTTTACATAATTCATTAACAAACATAGACTTTTACAGACCAACATAAAACGTTTTGGATGAGAATGGAGGAATACGTGAAGATACTAATGAAAAACTCAAATACTTTGAACTACCTCGTTGTTCAAATCCACTTGTTCTCTTGGCATGAAGAAGATCATGCTGCATTTTATTTCTCATTGAGCTGAAATTTACGCCACATTTGGTACATCGAAACGGTTTCTCAACAAGAAGAACTGATGAAGCATTGCGGCTTTTTGCTTTTTTGGGTATGTTTGGTGGCTCAACGGCTTCACCGTTATCTGCAATGACAAAAAACAGAATATATGACTGACAATACTCATTCGCAGAAAAGTAATACAGCTAGTTCATGATTCTCAGTAACAGTTGACATAAACTTGACTTTAGGCTTAAATGACTAGGCCAACAAAATGAGAATTTATTTTCTTCAGCTGAATTTCTTGATTATATGAAAACAAACCGTTGAGGTCATATTCTTTAAGAAACAAAACTGGGGAAATCTTGAACGCATCCACACGAAAAACTTGTATGAAAAACTACATATCTTCGATGTTTGAGCAGATGTTGTAAACAATATTCCACTTATACATTGAAACGGATAACTTTTGGATCATTTTGTCCGAAACTTTGATTTTCTTATGTCTGCTACTACAAGCAGGCGCAGAAGCAAAGAAAAGTAACCCTATATGGAATATTCAAAATATGGATGAAACTAAAGCTCAGTCTTGCAAATGCCTGTAGGTTCCTTTTAACATAGCATTGCCCAAAATCTATCCATATCTTTCTCAAATTTATGAAAACGACCCTTGGTTTTACTTATTGATATAAATATACCTGCAAAGTGAATTGGATACAGCCTAATGATACAAAGCTACAAATATAATTTGGATTTACAGTTTTACTTCTGTCATTATTTCTAGCCGACTTAGCAACTCCTTACACATTGGGTAACAGTCGACTTTCTGTGCCGAATATTCTGCTACTCTTTGCAAAAACTTAAAATTAATATCTATGAAAAGTATTCTGAAATTTCCTTTTTCTTTCAGCAATTACCAACATATTCAGTTCAGAGAAAAATCCGAGAATATTCGAGAAAGATATATGAAAATTAGGAAAAGCATGTGCATGGTTATACCATGACTATGACAGGCAGCGGATAACTTTTTATGTTTGCGCTAGTGAATACCATATGTTAAAAACAGAGTCCACAAAACATTACCGTTTCACAGCTGTCACAAGAGAAAAAACGATGCAGCAGTTTTGAGGAGGGCCAATTCATAGCATGATAAGAGTATACAACATGAGCGAAAAGTACTGTTATAAAGAACAGAGCATAGAATCTGGATGGATAATTGGATCTCAACAGCACGATCTCTATCATCATTTTACAACATAAATCCGTACGATGATTCTAATGTTATCAAATCGAATGTTTATATTCGTTTTAGGTCTCAAATAATGAATCATTTGAATCTGCCCATTGCAAAAGACAGGAAATCGTTTGTTTTGTTCAAGACAACTTTTCAATTTGAACCTTATCTTGACGTAGTAGCTAAGTTCCTTGAAAGGAGCATTGCGAAGCTGAGACTCAGTGCTCACAGTTTGGCAATAGAAACCAGAAGGTATCGGACACAAAAAACCTTAGAGAACAGCTATATTATGAATTCTGTAAATCTAGTGGCACTCTTGTTCTGGAAAATGAGATCCATTTCCTAATTTCATATCCCCAGTTCACAAATATGCGCAAGATAATGAGTGTCTGCTACAATTACCCAAAATCTACTCGCAATTACCTAAAAAATGTTTCCGTCAACAAGATGACAAAATCTATTCATCTGGTTTATGAGTCAGGAAGATAATGAGTGTCTGCTACAATCAGATAAATTTTGCAATAGAGTTTATAATCTCCATGAAAAAGGTTAAAAAATAAGAAAGCTACGTTGAAGCAAATAATGTTTTCCCATGTATCTTGACGCATATATTCGATAGTTAATATTACGATTATTTGTTGATTCATAAACGATTAACAAAGTATTTAGCTTTTTGTTACGTTGATTGCATTGTGTATTAAGAAACATGTAACTTTATAACTATGTATCTCTGTATTTGTAATTAATTTCGTAATATTTGGTCTAAGTTAGTCGAAATATGTATGTTTTGCTGTTAAAAGTGTATTAGCCATGTATTAATTGTGGAGTGACGAGCCTACATGCCTAAAAATAATTAATTTTACTTAAACCCCATTTTTAAGAAATATTGCTTCAAAATATACCAGGAAAATTTTGCTGAAACAACTAAGGAAAATTTTTATTGGGAGGAAGGTTAAGGTGTTTTCTAATCTATGGTTAAAAATTATTATATATACACAAGAAAATTGCTGTTTGGCTCAAAGCTGAAGTTCTTTTTACTCTCTGAAGTAACATCTTAATTGAGATTCCATTAGCAATAATGACATTAAAAAGAATCCATGAATAGCTTGAAATCAATCAGATATGTCAAAACTATAAGCAAGATATGACAACGCAAGATCTGTAGCATGCTAACAGATTACAGTATTGAGTTATAGACAAAGACCACAGTATAGTGATTAGATGGGGAATGTAGTGATAAGATGAAGTTGTGCGTGTGGTATGTCGAAAATGAACATAATTGGATACAACAAAATAACGACTTTGTACAGGAAATTGATATTTGGTACGACGTTTTCGGCATAACTCTTGAGCACAACCTGATGAAACGTTGTACCAAATATTCATTTCTTGTACAAAGTGGTTATTCTGTTGTATCAAAAGAATTCAGCAGGCTCTTCTTGGTTGAAAATTATGTCATGAAATTGAAAAAACAAGCTTCTATGAAGGGAAGCTCTTGATCACGTCTCTCAAATTTTAAGCTTATAAGGTCCTGTTCTACAAGAGAGGGCGACAACACTGTTATTGTTTAAGCAAAATAATTTTCGTAAAAGTATAAATGTTGAAAGACACTGGATGACCTAGCAAATTTATGAATTAAAAAAATCATGTCTGTTTTAATTTAGATCCATAGATGTCATGGATTGTGAGTCAGGGTCTCTTTTGAGGATTTTTATAGATTACAGGAAAGTTTCAAAGAGGGCTCTACTTTAGGCAACAAGAAATATTTCGTTACTCATCAGAATAATTTATTAATATCGTTTATTATCATAAGCATATACCTTTTTTCAAAGTATAATTTTGAACAAAACTGTCTTCATAGCAGAGTGAAGTAGATGGATGGCCAAATGGGTATATATATGTTCCTTTTTCATTTAAAAATTGAGTTGTGTGAACTGATGGCAATCTGTTCTACTTTTTGTGGTACCAGAAGGTCCTGTGCATTGTTCATCCCTGATATTAAACAATACAATGTTCCTCATGTTCATTCCTGATATTAAAGGATGCTGCCTATTTATGAATCTCTCCCAAAGGCATTCCAGGAGCACTTGAAAATGAGCTTTGGTATTGTTATTCAGCAAAGTGAATCTCTTTTGTTTCTTTTATGTCAATGTCAGGATAAAAGAATTAGGAACAGCCTTTGTTGGTATGTCAGCTCTTGAGATATTTCTATAGGTGGATTTTTTATGGTAAATCAAATTTTTTGTTGGAAATTGTCTTTCGACTAAAATACTGGACGAGGGGCATGACTTTGCTAAAGCATTTGTCACTTTGCCACATCAAAGACTGTTTTGAAACCTAGTCACTATGGCATAGGGGAATGTGTTTGGATACAGAATTTCCTATTTGATAAACATCAAAGAGCAATAGGTAATGGATCTTGCTCTTGTTGTCAGCAGTCCTGAGTAGAATTCCAGAAGGGAGTGTATAGGGCCCTCTTATTTTCATATGTTATGTGAATGATATGCCAGATGTGATAAAAAATGGGATATGTATCTTTGCGGATGACACAAAGGTGTTCTCAAGTATAGTCAATGACTTTTATCATCAGGGACTGCACAATGGTCTTAATAATTGTCAAGCATGATCAGAAGTGTGGCAATGCAAGGTAATGCATTTAGGAGGAAGGAATACAGAAGCTGTTTGGTCACCATTCTATAATAAGGATATGACAGTTAAGTAAATTCATGAATGAAACCCATCTGTGTTTGCTTCATTGAAAATAATATTGGATATCTGGAGGATTTTGTTGAAAGACTGAAAGGTTGACACAAATGTCATGCAAGCAAAGAACAACATTAATTCACTGTGCTGATGTTTTGTCTAAGTTCAAACTATCAGTTGGTTTCAGGAAACTTGATTGGTAAACACTTAAGGTACATTTTCTAATTTAAAAAGTGCCCGAACAATTCCAATGTTTCAAAAGTTCAAATGTTTTAGCTTAGCATCAACGCTGGGCATTTGCCAATAATCATTTGTTATGAAACAAGGTGCATGTCTTTGAAACATTTCTATCTTTTTTAATGTTTCTTAACTGGGTGACCAAACTTGGCAAGAGGATTTTAGATGGGGAAGGGATGTCAAAGAAAGTTCCTCTTGGACATGACCTGAGCAGTTTGAAAATTTCTTTTATGAGCCACAATGTTAAATTTACTCTACCTACCATATTATCAACTATCTTCTTCCATAGAATTTTGGAGTTAATATACATTCCAAGTTATATGTTACCGATTCTTCTATGAGCATTTCATTGATGTGATAGTCAAAAGAAATATCACTTCAATCAATCACTGTATTCACTATGATTTATTTATTGCCAATTTATACTTTCTTCAAATTAGAGATTCATTGACTTCAAGATTAGTCTGCCAGTACATCATCCAGATAGCCCTGATATTCTCCTATCATCGATTTTGCATCACACCATCTACAGACCTTTCCAAAAATGGAGTTTAGATTTGAAATCTTTATCTTGAAATTAGTTTATACTGAAAACTTTATGTTGTTTGGACTGTTTAGTCACAAGTTACTTTGTTTTGAATACTTCAATATTTATTTAGCGTCGACTGGAATTTGCTGCTGTAGTGTAGTAAAAAAAATTCACTACAGCAACAAATTCAATTTGAATTGAAATGTATCTTCCTGAAGGCCTTAAGGCCAAATCTTGAAAATGGGGTAAATTACTGTCTGACAGTCCTAACAACATGAAATTTTCAGCACAGACTAATTTCAACATGAAGATTCCAATTCTATGATCCATTTTTGACAAATGTAAAGACAAAGAATTGACCAGAACAGAGAAATGCAACCGTGAGCATTAATTCTATATTTGGATGGGGAACTGATTAGTTATTTATTTCCATCTCTAACATCGTAATCAATTTCAATTTTTACGTATATTCAATTGAATTTTTTGATTTTGAAAAATATCGGAGTTTCAGTTTGGATTGCTTACCGTCGATGGCTTCTTGCGAACTGCGTTCGTGAAGGCAAGTTGTTTCGGTGGGTGTCTTCTTAAAGTTTCCAAAAAGTGAATGAAATCGCATATGAAGTGACAGCTTTTCTTGGTTTTTGAATTTCTTTTTACAAACATCACAAACAGGCTCTTTAGCGCTCTCGTCGAGGGACGATTCTTGCTCCATTGCCGCCTCAAACTTGCTATGCAAATTAGTCTGGGCCTAGATTTCAATATGCTGAAATCAAACTTGGAAAGCAACTCTTTGCAACGGCTTGAATTAACCAAACATAAATCATTACAATAACATGCTCTGTCTCTAAAAGTTATTAATGAAATATGTTGCATGAACTTAAAGATTGTTCTGAAAATGAGCTTCAAAATGAACTGCTACCATGATCATCTATCTCTTCTGTCATCGCGAATCCTGGGACGAATACTCATGCTACGCATGCGTTATTAGTTCGATTGTTCTTTAACAATCCCCGGTGAGGATTGTCACTGTTTCCCAATAAAATAGTTGGTCGGGTTGCTACTTTTTACATACTCCAAAAAGTTTTGTAGCTTAGCCATTTCATTTCCTATACACGCGCTGAAATCGAAACAAATTGGCATCGCTGTAGTCAAAAGTGTGCAATCTGGGTGATTCTTGTAATTTTCTGTTTGTCTTTTTGTTGCCAATTCTTCATTCCATGTGATAATCAATTCCTTTTGTAAAATAAAGGGCAAGATAAGATCAGAAATCAGACTCCAGTTCGCAATTACGTTCTTTTCAACAAGCTCCCTTAATAAAAAGGAGCTTCATGACTGGGGGGATAGGGAACACGTGCCCCCCCCCCCCCCATATCATCTATGATTCGGCAATTTGTCGGAAATTTCGAATCTGTTCGATAAAAGAATATTTATAGTTCAAAGAAAAGCAAGAAAGTTCCAGTATTACCAGTATAAGAGACTAACCAGTATAATAATAAAGTTGTTAAGAAGACAGTAAAACTGATGGTTATCTATTTTACAGTCTGCCTATATAAATCTGTACTTTTGTACAGGAAATGGCAACCTTGCCAATTGGTATTACTGAATGCGACGAGTGCACCTTTTTAAAGCTAAAATGTGTAAAAAGCAGGCTGCGATCAACAATTAGGCAAGAGAGGTTAAACAAAGCTGAGCTTGACTTATTTGACACTCGGTTATACTGAAGTAAATGGCACAAAATTGCTAAGCAGTGGCGGAAATTCAGGCGTTTTCATTTAGGCTTCTATCTAAAATTGCCTGTTCAATATATAAGGCTATTAAGCATACACAGCAGCAGGACAGACCGACGGTGATAGAATAAAAGATTGCTATGTTGTAACTTGATCTAATGCATCTAATGCTGTCTCGAACTGATCAAGCACAAAGGAATTTCTGTTCAAGGACAGAGTAAGTACCCTTGCAGAACTGCAATTGACCAGCGAGGGGAACAGACAATAAATCGAGACGCAAAAGTAGTCGGTGGTATCAAGTACTTTGCATCTGATTCAAACTCCATGCTCAAATGGAACTTAAATCGTGCAGCGCAAGCAAGAAATACAGAGGCTCTTCATGATTTAGCAGAAATTAAGAGGACTGATGCTATCTATAAGCACAATCGTCCATCTGAAATCATCAAGTCTGGAGAATCCTTCGTAAAGATTCATAACGTTATAACCCAAGAATATCTAAACCCATTCGACCCAGGCATTGATGCCAATCAGCTTTATAACCTAAGATCTGGCTGGAATGCCTCTTGAAGGAGAAATAACAGAATCTATTCTCACGATATGGAAGAGAGGGGAAAAGTTATTTGACGAATTTGTAAATGAACGCATTCATGAAGCAATCAAGCAACAACAGAAACAAAGATCCACAAAGCAATCAAGCGCCAAAAGTTGGCACTTTTCAAAAATGCCGGAAAGAAAAATGTGCTCAAAGTTCAAAACAAGCAGCAAATGATTGAAGCCAATAGGAATGTTCTAGGAAAGCTCCTAGCCCTCTCGGCAAAGAGTGACAAAGCAATCGACTTTCAGAAGGCATTGAAATTTCCCCTGCATTCTTTTTCCGGTAGGTCTAGCACTTCCAGACGGTTCCCCAAAGACAACAGCAAAGAGACAATTCATGGTAGCTATTCATTCTTCTTGCAGCGATTCTACTGATCCCAAAGATGTTGATTTACCTGAAAGAGCTACTTCAACATATCTTGTGGACCTCGTGGCTTTGGTACGTACAATGCCTAGTTCCTTTGATGCCTAACGCGACCTGGCAATGAGCCTTTTTGATATGCTCCCAGTTGGTTACAATCGTATTGACATTGTGGCAGATACATACAGGGAAATATCATCAAAAGATGCAGAGCGTGAAAAGCGTGGTATTGCTGACAGAGTCATTGTAAAATCAACCCAATCAAAATTCCTCAAGATTTTGCCAATTTCCTGAAAAAAGGGGAGAAAATAAAACACAGCTGATAGAAATCGTGAAGGATGAGCTTACTGCAAATAAAGAAACATTGCTTCAGAAATTACAATGTCGACGAATAATGTTCTCGATGCATCAATTATGCTACCAGATCACAACCACGTATGTTGTTGTTGTTGAGCAATTAAGCTGCAATCAAGAAGAAGCAGGCACCAAATTGTTTCTGCAGGCTGTACACTCGCTCTCCGAGAATGCCGATGCATCTGTGGTTGTTCGTTCTTCACTGTCAGGGGATGTTGATATCAATATATTATTTCATAGTGTGTTCTTAGAGAGTCCCGAGAAGGTAATAAGTGATCATGGCAGAGGAAATTCTAGGAAGATTCTGCAGCTAAGTTCTATTGATATGAGCGATGAACACAAAAAGGCTCTGATTGGCTTCCATTCTTCCACAGGAAATGACTCTCTTTGTTGTTTCGCAAGTCAAAGAGTCACTGTTGGCAAGTCCTTTAAAAAAATAACAGGTTTGTTAATGTTTTTTCGCGGCTAGGAGCTTAGTGGAGTATTGATGACGATCTGCTTTCAAAATTGAAGGAGTATGTCTGTAACATTTTTGGAAAGGAAAAGAAAGACCTAAATGCAGTTCGTTACGAGATCTTCAAAGAATGTTTATGAAAATAAAGGAAAGATTCAAGATTTGTCTTTGCTGTCTCCATGTCGACAATCATTGCATTTGCATTGCCAGTGATCAAACTACATCGCAGAAGTGTGGAGGTCCTGCCTACAAGCGAACATTGACTTTGCAGATAATGGGCAAAATGGATGGTCTGCGGACGGAAAAATAGTCTGGATAGATGCTGGATAGATGATGGATAGATACCCTGAAGAGGTGGAGCAAATTTTGGCTGGAGAAGAGAGCAATAATGAGAGCAGCGATAAAAGCGAGGATGAAGAATTTAGTAACAGTAATGAAGAATTCTTATGAAGCGCAGGTACGATCCTTTTTGTACTTCTTGCGATATTTTAGGCAATCAAACACATGATGTAGCCCTCATCTTCACAATCTTAATCCCCCGAATCCTATAACTTGCTGCTACCTGGTAGAAATAACAAAAAGGGATCAAATCGGTTTTTAAAATGGTATAAAATGATGTTTAATGCCGAGACCGACTTTTAAAAGATATGTTTTTTGCGAAATAATTGATTACCATGCCACCGGTTTGAAAAATGCCCATATATTGTAAACGCAGCGGGTACCGCAAGTTTACCAAAGATTTTCTTATTCATCACAAAATTTTACATCGGAAAAACATTACCTAATAAAGTTCGGTTCCAGGTTACCCCTATCTCATTTTCCGTCTGGTCGATACCGTTTCCATACTTTTGCGACCCCAGTGTACTCCCCTCACAAAAGTATTGCACCACCTTGTTCAAAATGGCGGCACTTTTTGTCAACTTTTTGACAATAGAAAACATTTGAATGCATGAATTGGGTAAAATTGGCGTATTCTATAACAAATTTCGGCGGGAAAAGTTTACACATTATGCTGACGCCATAGAAAACTTAGTTAGATATGCATGAATTTTTTTTGTAAAAATGTAGATCATGCCTAGGAGAGAAAAATTATGCAGCCACACACAACAGCTGCGAAAAATCAAAAAGATTTCTTGAGAGTGTTTCGGTACACTGAACTTGGTGAGCAAAAGCATTGCACCACCCACCACAAAATGGCAGCACCGCCGCGAACTTTTTATAGCAAACCAAATTCAACTAGCTATAGCAAGTTAAATAAAAGTTCACTTGGTCGTTGGGTCGTTTGGGTCGTTGGAAGATACCCAAACAACTGAAAAGACACAGTGAAAACGTACCTGCCAACGACCCAAAATACCCGAAAGACTCACTCAAACGACAGTTGTCGCAGAGATAGAAAAAATTCTATCTCCGCGACCCAAAATACCCACGCATTAATGATTTTTGCAAGTGGAAACCGACAAACGAATCAAACGACTCAAACGACCCACGCTTTAATAACTTTTTCTTCAAGAATAGGATATTTTCTTGTAACCGCGTGTTTGACTAGAACAAGAACAAGATAGCTGAATATTTCACAGCAAACTTTATGGAAGAAGTTCGAAAATACGAGTACCATTATCACAATTACTGGAAATAGTTTAAAAATAAATACAAAAATATCAAATCTTGGCAAGCTATTGCACTGAAATTTAGTGATCTAACATCGTCGTCTGTACAAAGTCACCAGAGGTAGAAATAGTTGACTTGGCAACATCAGTTGTTGTTTATCAAATGCTATCATCGTTCCTTCCACGCGTGCCGCCAAAATTAAATGAGCGATGCATAATGCAAGCAATGAAAAGCATCAACAACAAACGACTCAAACGACCAACGAACCAATGCGTTCTTTGGGTCGTTCGTGTCTTTCAGGAACGACTCTGACGACTCCAACGACCCAAACGACCAAGTGGGAACCAGGCTTTTAGGTGAAAATTAATGGAAAATTTATCAAGATATAGAAATGAAATTGAAAAATGCAGAAATATTCTTTGTTTTTTTTTATTTTTTCAAGCTTTATCGACCAAGGATAGATTTTTATAAATACGAATTACCATTTTTGTGAAGCCATTAGACGTCATTCCATGGTTAATTGCCCGCAACTCGCGCGCGATAGCGCGCGAGTGAAGGGCTTATAGTCTGCCCCGCGTATAAGTAGCATATGGAAGCTTCAGTTCATAATGTCAGCACTTTTTCAGCAGATTTTGTCACTTTTCTGCTGCCATGACAACTGTCAATCAATCGGCTTTGTCGAGGAGGTCGTTAACCGCCACCTCTTTGTGCGGAAGGGAGTTATCTCCGGAGCGTTGCTCTGCCAAGACTCTGTTAAAGGCCTTCGGATTTTTTGACATGAAAACGGTGCTGCATCACAGCTCGGTTCTCCGCAATGGATGGAAGTTTTGATTCGAAGTTTTGGGAATCAAAACCAGTCGAATGCCACACCTTTCTCCCAAAAA